ACTCTTGAATTTTACTCATTTAAACCCGTTATTTTTCATCAAAATAATCTATTTACATTACCTCGAATTATTAGGAAAACATGCCTTTTTGAATATAAATTTATTAATTAAACCTTTCCGAATTAGAATATATACATATGTATTAGTGTATTAACTATCCTGGCCATTTAAGTGCCTCCTAATCCTTACTCGGCTGTCAGATCAATCACGCCAATATCTCCCACGCCTTCCTTACTTCTTTCCTTATCTCCCAAGATATCCTCAATATTAGGGAAGTGATCAGTAAAGGGGTCTTGCTTTTGGAGCCTTTGAGCCTCAATAATAGCCTGCTGTCGCTCCCGCATACGCCTACAGCATCGTGAGTAGATCTAGTAGCATTCGACCTTGTAAAATGCGATATGTATTACCTACCTAATTAATTGTATGCTAAAGATAGGTTGTAAGCGCTAACTTTTCTGCCGGATTTTAAAAAAGGGTGGGGCTAAAATTGAATACTACTGAAATACCATTACTACTGAAATAACATTACTCATCTAAAAAGGGAGATGCTAATCAAATCACCCCACAGGCCAAGTACTGGCGAGATCGCTGGACAAATCCTGAAGCACTTATATTCGTCGACGACTCTACGTGGGAACAGCTATACTACGCCGAGAAGTGGTGGTTTCCAGCTGGTGTCATTGGCGTTGTTTTCATGACGATTGTTGCCTACATCGGATGGTGGTATCAACGGAGTCTACGCCAACGCTACTGTGACTTGGTAAGTAAGATTGACCACGTTAACGACATCGAATTTGAAATCGAAGAAGTATCCGATACCGATGTCGATAATATTAGGGGGGAGGCCATTAACACGATCCATAACACGTAAGAAATAGGACATGGTTTCTTGGATGAAGGCAGTGAATGCCATTTGTACTATAATATTATTATAATATACGTCATAAATAATGTGTTTTGAAGCATATATAGGAAACTAATGGCGTAATACCACGTGAGCATTATACAAAAGACAAATTTGCTATCTGAATTGAGTAGTTAGTGCAGTACCTCCTATTATTGTGTCAGAGATACCCCTTGATGGTTGTCATACGCAGAGTAAATGTCAAAAGTAGCAGCGAAGCTGCTGTGTAGTAGCCCTGTAGTAACATAAATCTATTAACGCTTGACCTTCTAGTCTCTTTCGGGGACGCGTAGCACCTTTATGCGGATGTATGCTTAATTCATACTAGTATCGCTTATACCCTAACATACCGTATCCAGAAACATATATTCAAGGAGCCTAATAAGAGATCTGGGACGGCTGGAGGTAGAGATACAAATTGGACCTGTTTCACGCTAACATTGTATATACTGTATTAAAGCTAAACCTTTTACTGGCTATTCTCAGCAAACAACTCAGCCCAAAAGGCTTCAAGCTGTATAATAGACATGTGTATTCCTCTTCCTTTTAGTCATGGAGACCTTCAAGATGATTCAGCCCTGATAGCACTCTTCCCTAATTTCCGATCGCCCGGGGTTAAAGAGTCTGTTTGGATTTCAGAGTATAGGATAACTTTAGTATAGCTATATAGACATAACCAGGCTCTCATAATTGGCTTTGAGTGCCTTTACGGGACAATGATACTTTTTCCTTACGTCGGAATCCACTCTATGAGAGAATACCTAATATAATATGTTGTACACCCCGGTTTATAAATGTACCTGCCTAGAAAGCTAAGTCCTCCTTCCTTGGATATGTATATAAAGCTTTTGAGGCTCAAACGTACAGTTAGTGAATATTAGGCGCAGTGTGAGAATAAGGAGTTTTCTTCAAGTTCTATGACCCTGTGTGTCGAATTTACCTTTACCTCTATGGCCTCAATAAATATCATATCCAAGCAGTCTATTTCATAGTACCCCTTCGAGAAGATTTTGTTTAACTCCAGAGTCCTTGGATACTACCACAGCCCTAATTCTGGATATAACATCATTCGTTTCCCTTGAGTATGGCGATTATTCCATCCAGTTTATCCCTTTGTTGTTCAGATGTCGTATGTGCTCAATCGGCCGCTGTGGTGTCTATTTATTGCATCACGATATCTTTCTTCCCCTTCAATTCTTTGAAATACAAATAGCTACGTGACTCTATGCATAAGGTTAAGGATCGCCTCTACATCTAGGCAGTTAGTTCTATATCACTAATAGAATAGGATATTCCATGCCTTAAAGCCATTCCCTCTTCCACAAATATGAACACGTATGATTCATTTTACCCCTATAATCACATACTCTTACTAATAAAAGCAATGCCGGCCTTCGATTACCAGTTGCAGTATTTAGCTTCATTTACTAAAACTACCTAGTTAGAAGCCATTCATGTCCTCGTTGCTTCTTGAGCTTAAAGTCTTTTATTTGTGTACCTTATCCTATTCTATCAGCCGCTGTCTCCAGGCCCGGTTGTATCTCGACGAGAGATGGAGAACTTGAGTTTGTTTAAGACTATTGTACAAGAACTAGTTGAAAGAAGCATAAAGAAAATACCATAGGTCATCCGCTTTAAGAAGAACTAAAGTTAATTAATGATCTTACAAGAGGTTCTATTATGTGATATTAAACAGGACTTTTATTAGAAAGGGAATTACTTGATTTTTACATGAATCTTATTACCTTAATTAATATACACAAATCATTCTCTTCCGCATTTCTAGAATATAATGTCGGCTTAGGTACTTAACGAGTCATTATCTGCTCTCGGGGCTTGTGGTTCTGGGATGCCTGTACGATGTCCTTTTGGTGTGCGGGGTGTCTGCGAATCTAAAGTGGTTGGTTCCTCTTGTTCTTTCTGTAAGGAGAGGATGTAGTTGTTGGCTAGGGTTACGTGTGTCTTCGCTCTTGAAGTGTCTATCACCCACTCGTCTAGGTATGATTTGAGCTCTTAGCTTTGAGCCCTCTGCGTTGTTCTAGAGGAAGGCAGGGGAGCTTGATGTCTGTTTTTGATCTCTGGAGGTAATAAGGTCACGAATGCTATAATCCGGGTTCTTTCTGTGGTTATTCTTCATCTTGGTTAAGTCTAAATGCTAACGTTTAAGACGTATTAACTTCTTACTCCGTTATTCGATCATCCCAAAACGAATACGTGAGTATAATGAACGGCACTATTCTAGAGCCTGGTTATGCGACTCTTGTGACACATACCAATCTGATATCTATACCATGCCGTCTTTTGGGCTGTGCTGCCAATGTCTATGAACATATACCATCATCCCGCCACTAGGAACTATGTTGTGTAACCATGAATCCTTCCGCCTGCTGTTGCTTTGTTCCTCCGGCTGTTGCTTTGTTCCTCCGGCTGATGGTAAGACAGTATGCAGTCTCCAAACAGATATGTATACGGTAGGCGTTTATTTGGAAGTCAGCTGTAAGCAATTACTTTATTGCTCAAGGACTGGTTCAATTGATAGTTGACGGCATATAGCTTGTGGTACACCCATCCTAAGTAAGCTTGAACCTCTATGTCGGATACATTCCGACTGTAACACACCATCGGTACAAAAGTGCCACAATCCTTCGAGTGAGTTTATCAGCCGCCGAGATGTACTCGGTGAGACGATCTGCAGGTTGATGCAAAACATATCGGTTTTGAGATAAGATCGGCCTAGCACGAAAAGAGATTGATGTAGTATATGGAAGCCTGCAGGCTGTGCGCTAAGTAAACGATAGCCGGCTACTAAGATTAATTTAGATGCAGCCTTATGCCTTACCTTGCCGTCAGCGAAACTTAGGTAGGTAGGTAAGGGGGTATAGTAGTTAATATCATGATCTAATAGGATGGATAAGCACCTAAAATATAATTCGATAAGATATCACAGAAGTTGACATAATCAGTTATTGTAGAGGCACCGAACTAGAAAAGTAGGGGGGTTATGATTACCAACACCGTAGCTAAGGTTGTTTGAACTGTGTGCCGCGTTAGCATTGTGATAGAGATGCAATGTATCACTTTACAAGTATGCCTGAACACTGATAGTGGATGCAAGTTTGACATATTTCCAATAATGATGTCCTTCTGCTCGTGAGTGCCGTTCCACGTCGAAATAGACCAAATGAGTTATTCCCGAAGGATTTCGTTCTGTAACCTTTCATGTGCCTTCGTGGCGCGATTGTTACATCGGGTAGCCCTAGGAACAGAAATTGGCCCCCAAATGACTTATGTCTTAGATCCTTCACATAGGCCTAACACGAGGCCTAATATATGGCTGACAACATAGAGTGTAATCACTGAATCGCCGATTATAAAGTTGCGGAATCACAAATTATTTAAAGATCCTAAAAGGGAAAAACAATGCGAGTTAGGCTCGCTATGGTTGCATGCCCACATATTAAGTAGCATTGATTCATACCTACCTTATTGCGTGGCTTTATGCGGGAGTCTTGTTAAACCTGAGATTTAACAAAATTCTGTCTCCAATTCTGCGTTGGGGGCCCAATGTAACCGGTAATGACAATGAAGTGGAAATAAGCATTGTGTTTTGGAAGCAATCCTTACGCCTCAAATCCTTTGGGGGTCCCCTGCAGAGGCCTTGTAAAATCTGCTAAGCTGCCTGTAACGCCGCTTTTCTAGCCGGTGTGCAGTCAGGTACCTTAGGTACCTAAGCTTGATGGTAACCCGAGTCCCTCTATATGTGATCTATGCTCAACACAGCAGTTAGAAGGCTAACCCACTTAGAGAATATTTGAGGATTTGAGGGGAGAAATACGTTAGGTACCTAATTATAATATTTGTATTCGCTACTAGTTACGAGGTTGATAATTGTTATCTTACCTATTTATCGTTACATTTATAGCATACTAATTTCATAACATTGAAGCCCAGCGTCAATAACTAGAACATTATTACTCAGTTTCAGCCCATCCAACGCTTATATGTGCGTAAAATCCCGTCGTCACATAGGTAACGGGTACCTATATGTAATCTTTGGACTGATCCAACGCATCACCTTAGGCACGTAAAGTACCTCTTATGCTACCATAACGTCATGACGAACATGAATCCCAGCATGCTGAGTATGTTCGATACTCTCTTCAGTCCCTGTAAACTGTGCAGTTGCCTTGGTTTGTGTAAGATATGGGTTCGCATCGGAGAGGCTTTCAGGGTGTTTATGAAGGGAGTCAGTCGACCGTCTGACGAGTTCATCTCCGTCTTCGTCGTGAAATGGGCGATGATTACTTGAAAGTCCAGTCTTAGAGTGAGGAGAATTGGTGCTGAGAAGACTCGAAGCACCATGGCGGTAAACTCGTTGGCCTAGGAAAAATATACTCGGGAGGCTAACACTGATGATGGATATGGCGATCTCCGAACCTAACCAGAGAATTGGTGTAGAAATTTTGTCTACGTATGGATTATCAGAAGGAAAATTAAGTATGTTTGATAGAAAAAGAGTCTTACATGTCGGGTCCTTTTCAACTTCGTCACCAGCTTGAATAATGGTGACAAGGCGACCAATGGATACCACAACGACGCTATAAACATGTGTCAACTAGGCGGAGAATATAGGGGCTGTCGAGCCGAAAAGGGAAGAAAAGAACAACTCACAGGTATCCGCATATGAAGACTCCTAAAATCTGAATTTTACGTATCGTCTTCATGTGCAGTTTCCATAACATCGGCATGGGCATCACCAGGATAATAATGTCGATAATAAGACTGGTTATACCGCTACCCATCCAGAAGCGGCCAGTATTAAGACAATGCCCGTCTAATGTGGTATCCCAGGCTTTTGCGATAGGAGTGCACATGAATGTGACATCTAGCAAGATCGTGACGAGCCATATGACATTCATAGCATGCACCAACCACAATGCATACTTGAACCGAGAGTTCGTTGAACCGAAAACGCGAGCATAGAAAAAAAGAGCTGAAGATTTGGACACAGCAGTTCCAGTGTCAAAAATGTAGTAGACAACCCAGAGTAACTTTAGAAACGGCTTGACATTTTCCGGCGGTATTACTTGAACATGAAGTCCAAGGCCAAGATCAAGTAGCTTCAAACCGATTATACAAACTGCGATATTTAGCACCTGATTAACATCAATTAGCTAGAGTTAGGTACCGTGTGGCTAAAAGTTTTATAGGGGCCCCTACCGCACCCGCAAACGCCGTCCAGTCGTCCCACCAGAACTTGTTAGGGGTTTTTGACATGGCAGACGGTGTCATTAGAGCCCTAGACCAGGCTCGAACGAGTACCACTACCGTTGGAACAATCATCATGGCAATGAGAAGCTTTCTCAGTTCGTCTTGTTTGGTGTCATTAGGGTTAAAGTCGGGTTGAGTTTCCGCTGAAGACATTTTGGGGCTTGAACTCTCATTGACGAACTTGTGATGTTGGATGGCCTATTGGAGATATTTTGATAAGAATAATGGGGGGACCCAAGAGAAAAGATGTTGGGAAAATAGTTGGCTGTTAAAACAGCAGGACTATTGGAGGATATGGTTCATACATAATACCATTGACCGCGGTTCCTAATACGATCGGGATTACATACCTACCTAACTTACCTACATGTCTGTATAAGAGGATGATGTTATACCTTTACTATGCCTTCAATCAAATGGTACCACCTCATGTATGTAACAACCGGGGATTGTGCTACCCGATCAAGAATCAAAACCCGAATGGTTTGATGACAGCTGATTGGCGGGATCGCATGTGCCTACACCAACATGTAGGGTAACACAACATGAAGTACGGCAATCAAGGGCTGATTTATATGAAATATTAGATTACCTAGGTACAAGAAGTAAAATCTCAAGTTCTTGTACACCCCTGTTTGTTTGCTTTCAAAATAATACTGATAGATTAGGTACCTAGTACTTTAGGCACCTAAGATAACTGAAAGCATATGGACCTCATACAGTGTCTTTGAGTACCTATTTATGGACTGGTGATACGTATAAGTTCTTTACTACACAATATTTTTAATTCTTCCTCCCGTAGAGTTTCCACCAAGCTGCTACGATATTTTCAATAACGAAAGCACTCAAGTTAACTTTGCTATGTCTGTTCTAGAGAAGGTTCCCTCTTCCCAGCTCGATCCCTCACGGGAAGAGCAAACTGAGGTCAAAGCTCAAAACTTGAACATGGACGTAGAGACTGCGAACAATAAGCAATCCTCGGCCGGCGGCTCACCAGTTCGAAAGCTAAAGCCCATGTCTTGGTTCTTCGTCGTGTTTTCCTTACTGGCTGCCTTATTTCTCTTTGCACTTGATAACACTATTGTTGCCAATATCCAAGAAAATATCATATATACTCTTGGAGGCATTGAAAAACTGCCCTGGATTTCTGTCGCGTTTGCTTTAGGTGCTGTTGCAACCAACTTGCTCTGGTAAGTACATGTCGTGCCCCCGCCTTAAGTAGCTACCTACACAAGGCCTCGTTTGCAGTTATCATGATTAACCAAGAGCGTAGGGGCCAGTTATACTCTCATTTTGAGAGCAAATTACTTTTTGTCTCCAGTGTGGTGATATTCGAAGTTGGCTCTGCGCTTTGCGGAGCTGCTCCGTCACTCGATGCACTCATAGGCGGTCGGGCTATCTGTGGCATCGGAGGAATGGGCATATATCTAGGGACAATCAATATGGTATCGGCCTTAACAAATGACCAGGAACGGCCCATGTACCTAGGATTTGTTGGACTAACTTGGGGTATTGGCACAATGTATGTATATCCCTTTGCACCTAAATCTCTAGTGAGATAGAAGGTAACTATACTAACCCTTATAATAGTCTTGGACCTATAATCGGCGGCGCATTCACTGACAGCTCTGCGACATGGAGATGGTCCTTCTATATCAACCTCTGCATTGGAGGTCTTGCCGCCCCTGTTTACTTATTCCTCCTGCCAGTCGCTGATCCTCACCGAGGCCAAAGCTTTCTTTCACGGGTAAAGAACTTGGACTTGGTAGGGACAGTGCTTAGCGCCGGCGCGATCACCACCCTCGTGATGGTTATTTCATTCGGGGTAGTGTATATGCATGGAACAGTGGTCAAACAATCGGCCTCTTTGTCGCGACAGGAGTTCTCTGGATCGCTTTCATACTGCAGCAGCGCTTCTCTTTGCTCACCAAGCCCGAAAGCCGTCTCTTCCCCCCACCTCACTTATAAAATCTTGGGAGATGGATATTCTCTTCGCTCAAATGGCTAGCGCGCAAGTCGTCGTTACAATCCCTATTTATTTCATCCCAATCTACTTCCAATTTGCTAAAGCAGAGTCCGCCTTGCGAAGTGGTGTCCAGCTTCTCCCGTTCGTCTTGCCGCTAGTATTTGCAGTTATGATAAACGGAGCGGTTATGGCCCAAGTTGGATACTACATGCCGTGGTATGTAGTCGGCTCAGCTCTGGCGTTAGCTGGCAGCGTGCTACTTTATACTATTGACATCAATACGACAGACGCTCGCATCTACGGGTACTCTATTTTAACCGCTTTGGGTGTTGGCCTCTTTTCACAAGCTGGGTTCGCAGTGGCACAGGTGAAAGCGGCACCCCAGTTGCTGTCACAAGCGGTAGCTTTCATTGGAATTGGCCAAATTAGCGGCATTACACTAGCATTGGTAATATCCAACAGCATTTTCTTAAATGAGTCAACCGAGAAGATTGCTAATATTTTACCTGATTTGCCGCGGAGCGTTGTTCAACAAGCCGTTTCAGGGGTCGGAGGAGATTTCTTCAACAACCTCACTTCGGATCAGCGACAACGTGTTTTAAATGCCATAATAGAAAGCATCGACAATACGTTTATTTTGGTTATCACAGCTAGTGCACTATCCCTTGTCCTTTCTGTCTTTATGAAACGCGAGCGACTTTTCGTCACTCCGCCAAAATGAGATATTGCAAGGGGTTACGGAATACAGGTTACTATCGAGTATTATAACTGACATATCAAATTCTTGCCAGCGAGAAATATCTTCTATTTCCACGCAGGTGTATCTAATAAACTACCTATTTAATTGGTGTCTCGAAGGAAGTTCCGTTAAGGGTTAGGGCTATTCTCATTTTATTCATCTTGTTTCTTGTTTTTCTTTCTTGAACTATAACCCGGCTAGATAGATGTTTTGAAATCTAAAATATAGGACTCTGCTAAATTTGCTATAGTGTATTGAACATATTTTAATACGGACCATTTTACATAAAATTGTTTAGGATACAATCGAGACATTCTTTCTATCCAGTCAATTGGATTGACTATATGCACTTAAGGGGAAAATCGCGTTAAACATACTTGGCGGTGAATATTAAGGCTCTGAAGTCGTACACTGTCTCTTACATGCAGCACCTTCATGCAATGCAGTTTTCCTACCCTTTCTATAGAGGAAGGTTTCATTTCGTAATGGGGGTTAGTAATATGCCGTGATATATTCGGAGTCAAGATGCGAGTGTAATACACCGCCCTATATGCTACACAAAGACATCAGTAACACAACAGTATGATATGCTGTTTTATCACCGCCCAATAATTGCTCATGCCTCGATAATAGCCGGTTCAAATAATCTGTAGGACGAAATTCTTTGTCACACTCTTCCCGGTTGTCTATCTTGTCAATGTATCGTCACATTCATAGATGAACTCCAAACAGAGATCGCAGCCGGAATAAAACCTAATCTATTCTTGTAGTACAATAAGGCTGCTCTACTTGCTGACTACCTAGAATTTAACCTTCAAGATTCTGCTTTACTATTTTAAAATAGCCGTACAGTCGTAGTTATAGCAGCATCAATAAGCAGGCTAGCGCCATTGATGTAGCTGGCTGCTGGGCTACACAAAAATGCAATGGTATCTGACACTTCCTCGCACTCAGCTGCACGTTTGATAGGGACAACAGCCGAGATAATGCCCTGTACCTCGGGATTCTTTTGTATCTCTATATCCAACAGTGGTGTGCGTACCCAAGCTGGGCAGACAGCATTAACACGAATCCCCTCAGGAGCGTAGTCAAGGCCTATAGGATGTTAGTTATCACTTCCAAAACGCTCTGAATCCGATGTCTTCTTTTAGATACTAACCTGACATCTTGGTGATTCCCATGAATGCATGTTTTGAAATAGTGTAGCAGCCTTTCCCCGGGAGACCAACAAAGGAATTAGCCGATGCAAGGTTGACGATGGCGCCGCGCCCAATGTCACGCGTGCCATTCCTGCTGCTCCAAGTCTTCGGTTCCTGCTTGCGCATCGCCGCAATCTGGGCACGCACACAGAGTAAATTGCCGCGTACGTTAATGTTCATGATGCGATCAAAATTGTCAACATCAATCTCGGCTACGGGGGCGTTGACGCCGTTGTCAACCTTAGTAAGACGAGTGAGATGTTAGAGACTATGATGTAGTACTAGCTTAGTATGGTGTATCACTTACACCAGCCGCATTGACGGCGTAGTCGAGACGACCAAATTCTTTGACAACAAAATCGACCATATCCTGGACTGCCTGGGCATCCTGAACGTTCATGGTGAAGGTTGTGGTCTGGTAGTCTTTGTTACTCGCGTACTTTTTGCTTTCTTCGGATGAGGCTTTCGCTGTGTCCTCATTCTTGTCTGCAAATACGATAACCTTTGCGCCAGCCTCAGCAAGAGAGAAAGCGGCTTCCCTGCCGATGCCACTACCGGACTAAAGTATGTTAGCGATTCTTAACTATACCCATTGGGACAGGTAACATCCATACCCCTACAACGAGGGCGACACCGTCAAGTTGGCTACTAGTAATCATTGTGATAGCTTGGCAAATACTTAAAGTTAAATAAGAGCTCAGTGTAGAGAATGAAGAATGCGATAGAGATAAGAGTTGGAGGAGGCTTGTTTGAAAGGAAAAAGGGTGTTTAAAAGGTGCACGGTTACCTAGGTGACTAGGATCAAGTGAATCAGTAGGAGTACCTAGCGGCATGTAAGGATCAAAGAAATGTTGCTCTGCACTCCAATAAGCTGTTAAAGTGATAGTTTCACAAGCAAACACATGTCCATTAATTTTTTTTAATTAAGAAAAATGTAACAGGTACCTCCCTACGTCGCCTTTCATCTCAAGGTCACATCTCAATTGCATCCGAGCTGAGCCAACATGCGTCGTATCACATTGGCCGACTCTATCAAGCCCTCTTTATCCCTTGACCCTGGTACTTCATGACCACCACTATGAATATATTCGTACTTATTCTCGGAGCTGCATAGTCTACTAAAGCGCCAAAGCCTGACCAGGTTCGATTTTGTCTTCGGCCCCCCAAATGTGTACAGTTGAAATATTAATTGGCACCTCTCTGACCTTGACAGGGGTAGTGGTGTGGGAATAGTGAGTCAGTGGTGTCCCCGCGTCGATGAAAGGGGGCCGACCGGAAAAGAAAATCCCACATCGGAGACCGGATTCTCGGAGCTGTAATTCGTCGATAAGTATAGCACACGCTAATGAAACCCCTTGGGAAAAAGCAATGATCCCGTCGAATGGTCCGTCGGTCTTGATATATTTTTCCAAGTCTTTAACTGCTTTTTTGAATGATTCTACATTATGAGGTTCGTAATACGCAAAACATAAATCCTCGGAGGTTGTAAGATTCTCGATCCCTAGAATCTTTGTTAGCTCGTTGGTTCGTTTGTTAATTAGTGCAATGCTATGATTGATTACCAGGTGCCCTATGCTGTGCTACCACACCTTCGACAAAGTCGTACGTATGATCCCCCCCTAATTCATGACGTAGCGCTGCTACAACTCTTTCAGCTCTCTAGGAATCCCGACGTAGTACTGCCAACCCTTAGGTACCTACCGATTTGGAACTCGAAGATCTGTTAACAGATTGTTAGCTTATCACTGTATGTAAAACAACCGCCTCGTAACTCTTAAGACATACTTTGCTGTTGGTCCCTGCACCGTGAAGGCAAAGAAAATGCATTGCCAATGTATTCTAAGATGCTCTGTTACGTTATATAGATAGGTGGTTAGGTACTATGAATCTACAAACTGTCAAGTTATCCGCAGGAAATGTGCATGGTTCTTATAGTTTTTTCCCCTCTCATGAGATCTTCAGTTTCTATTAAACACCAACTGTATATTACGTATTATTATTTCAATCTTGTACGTTAATATTCTTTGTTTCTAGTCCGTGCTTGTAATACATAATAAATAAGATCGATGTTTCTATTAGATGTGGATACTTGGATTACGATTCGGCTAGGAAAAGCTCTACTGAAAGCGAATAGACCTTTTTGTTCGTAATAAACGTTACTCAACTTATTGTATTGGCCAATTACATAGGCGTAGCGGTTCTATAAGTTTAAATCTTATATTATATTACCGGAAGGAGATTTTTCTTTGATAATTCCCTAGTCTTTTGAGGTTCATGTTTCCTTTTTTTTTTCGTTTCTACAATTTCTTACTCGAACTCTTCTTCGGCCTCTCCCTATGACGCTGCCTAGATCTTTCGAAGAGGAGCCCATTGCGGTCTGTGGGCTTTCTCTGAAGTTTCCGCAAGATGCCTCCTCAGAAAAGGATTTCTGGACCATGATTCTAAACAAGCGGAGTGCAATGACGACGTTCCCTCCGGATCGCCTAAATGTAGATGCATTCCATCACCCTACTCAACGTCATGCCCTCCGTACACGGGGTGCTCATTTCATCAAGGAGGACCTTGGAGTGTTCGATGCCAACTTTTTCTCGCTAACTCCTACGGAAGCTTCTGCTATGGACCCGATGCAACGCATTCTACTTGAGACAACATACAAAGCGTTCGAAAATGCAGGTATACGACTGGAAGACGTAAAGGGCTCAAGATCTTCTGTTCATACAGGTTGCTTCACAAGCGACTATCTACAACTGATACTGAAAGACTCCGAAAGGCTTCCTCCGTACGCAGCGGTTGGAGCTACACAATCCATGCTAGCAAATCGTCTAAGCTGGTTCTTTGATCTCCGCGGACCTTCAGTTAACTTGGACTCGGCTTGTTCAAGTAGTGCTATGGCTGTCGACCTTTCTTGTCAGTTGTTGCTTAGCGGCGTTACTGATATGGGTGTTGTCGCTGGCTGCAATTTGCTACTAGACCCTGATTACAGTACTATCCTGAGCAACATGCAGATGCTATCTCCTGATGGTAAATGCTTTACCTTTGATCATCGTGCGAATGGGTATTCTCGCGGCGAAGGCGTTGCGGTTGTCATACTAAAGCGTCTTTCCGATGCACTTCGCGACAACGATACCATACGAGCTATCATAAGATCTACCGGTACTAACCAAGATGGTCGAACGCCTGGAATCACTCAACCTGACCTTAAAGCTCAAGCTCAACTAATCCGTGAAACATACAAACGGGTGAACTTAAGCATGGAGCATACGCGGTTCTTTGAGGCACATGGAACGGGGACAGCAATTGGAGACCCAATAGAGGTCGGTGCTATTGCAGATTGTTTCCATAAGCATCGCAACTCTTCCGACCCCCTTTACGTTGGCTCTGTCAAAACAAATATCGGCCATCTTGAAGGCGCCAGTGGTATTGCTGGGTTAATTAAAGCAATCCTCGCCGTAGAGTCCGGTATAATACCACCAAATACGAATTTTGAATCATTAAATAGAAAGCTTGCGTCTTACGACTATGTGATTACTCTGCCAGCGGAGCCAATAGCTTGGCCTCCTTGCGAAGTCCGAAGGGCGTCTATTAATTCCTTCGGATATGGCGGGACAAACTCTCATGTTGTTATTGACGACGTTTCGAGTTACCTGAGGCATAAAGGCTTAGTAGGAAACTTTAGAATGGCCAATCTATACTCCTGGGACAAGAAGCTTCTCCGCTCAACGACCATAGAAGAATTTCCGAAGCTTCTCGTTTGGTCTGCTTCTACCGGAACTGCTACTCAACTCATGGTTTCTACGTGGGAGAAATACTGTTCAAAGATGCTCGACAATGATGCGATGCCGTCGGTTTCCAATATTGCATACACTCTTGACTCTCGTCGGACATCACTATTGGCAAAGTCATTTGCAGTTGTTTCAGCTACTTCCGATATGCGAGATCTTGTAAAACTCGCTTCTACACCCATAAATACTCCAAAACAGAGTCCTCGACTAGCATTCGTATTCACTGGTCAAGGTGCACAATGGTACGCCATGGGGAGAGAACTCTTAATTTACCCGGACTTCCTAGAAAGCATTCAGGCCGCAGAATCTATTCTCGTGGGTATGGGCTGCTCCTGGTCTTGTCGAGGTAGGTCGGCTCAAGTTCAATAAGTCCCTAGAAATATCGCTAATCAAGCCATGGTAGACCAACTTTTGAAAGACGAGAAGGAATCGATGATAGACCACCCAAGTATTTCCCAGTCTCTTACCGCAGTCGTCCAGATGGCGCTGGTTGATCTCTTAAGGTCATTTGGTATTAGTCCTGTTGCCGTCGTTGGTCACTCAATGGGGGAGATTGCTGCAGCGTAATACTGGCATCCTTCTATACGATTACTACCACTGACATTTGAGTAGCTACTGTGCAGAGCTCCTAACACGGGAGTCCGCTCTACGTATAGCCTATTATCGTGGCTACTTTACCGCAATAGTTTCTAAGCAAAGCCGCTGCAGAGGAGCTATGCTAGCTGTGGCCCTATCTGCTGAAGAAGTATCCAACTACTTCGACAACACGGGTTCCGATCATAATAATATAGATCTCCCTCTGGTAGTTAGTTGTATCAACAGTCCCTGTAGTACAACAGTATCAGGGGAGGAATCTGAAATTGAAAGACTCAGACAGATTCTAGAGAGCAAAGGTATTTTCGCACGACGACTACGCGTTCCTGTTGCCTACCACTCTCCTCAGATGGTCCTAGTCGTATCCGATTGCCTAAAGCATTTTGGGATCCTTAAATCGCCCCAACCAAAAGCCAACATCAGAATGATCTCGTCAGTCACAGGCTCTATTTTGACTAGAGAAAGAGCTTGCGAAGGGACCTACTGGACAGCCAATCTAGTCTCACCTGTTTTATTTTCACAGGCCGTGGAGCGACTCTGCAGAGATTCCGCTCTGTCGCTTCGTAAGAAGGTTGATGGGAGCCATCACGAAGCAATCGTAGTTGACAGTCTTATTGAAATTGGTCCTCACGCAGCTTTGCGTCTTCCTATTGAAGAAATCATCGAGACTCTGCCTCGGAGAAAATCGATTAATTATCTGTCTACGCTACGCTGTATCGTAAGCAATCTGCTTCGATTACACTTTTAAGATTACTAGGACAATTGTATTGCAGCGGCGCTCCCGTCGATTTACGACGCGTAAATGACCCAGAGCAGCCATTTCGAAGATCCCGAATTTGTCTCGCCGACGCGCCAGAATATCCATTCGACCACTCGACAACGTATTGGTGCGAGAGCCCCCTTGTTCGGAACTATCGCCTTAGAGCACATGGCCACGTTGAGCTTCTTGGTTCCCCTAGCCGAGATTGGAACCCACTAGAACCTCAATGGCGATGTTACGTTCAAGTTTCTGATATGCCATGGCTCATAGACCATAGGTTGAACAGCAGAGCTGTTTATCCAGCCTCCGCCATGATTGTCATGGCTATTCAAGGGGTTTCACAGCTCGCGAATCGATATCGGAATATGATTAGTTTTACTTTACACAATGTTCGATACCAATCTGCTATTGTAGTTCCTTCTGAATCTGGCGACTTGGAGACGAGGCTACAGTTACGGCCTCTTAAAGCCACTCCTGCGGCCCGAAGCTCTTGGAGTTTCTCTGTATATTCGGTAACTTCTGGTTATTGGGCTGAAAACTGCTCTGGGGTGATAGAAGTTCATTACGAAACAGAATCATGGGCTGAAGAGAATAATCAAAAGTCTCATTATTATAAGAGCCACTTCCAAAAACGAGATACACAGTGCCGTAAGGTTTTCGATTCAGTGGAAATATACAACAACTTCATCAAGTCTGGGTTCCATTATGGTCCTTCATTCCGGGGGATTACAACAGTGAATCATGACGGTACTGACACTCTCACGGCGAAACTAAGTTTGAAAAGTCCCCTGAGTGGTTCTACCGTGGATAGTTCATTTATCATTCACCCAGGAACGCTCGATTCCTTTCTACACCTTGCTTTGGTGTCTTTAGGTGGAGAAGACCAAATAATTCCAACTCAAGCCATATCTCGCATCGATAAAATCTGGATCTCAGCTGAAGGATTTAATGCGCCGCATGAATCTATCCAAGCTTCGGCAACATTTGAGGGTGAAACAGCGAGGACCAGGCTTTATTCTGGGTTTGCATTGTCGGACGATAAAGAACGTCTAAGATTAGTAGTCGAAGGGCTTCAAACTACTATTATCGCTTCCGATAAAAGACCTGAAGAAATTGCTAGCCAGGACCAATTTTGGTGTAGCGTTCAGACGGCGGTGGATGTCGATACCTTGTCAGGTACAAAGATTTTGCAACGACTAGAGTCAATTTGCGGACCTGACCCTCTTGGGCCAAGAGAGTTCTTTAGTGATCTCAGACGTTACCTATACTTTATGGTTAAAGAACTCCGTAAATGCGTGACCACAATGGGAACTGATTCTACGAAGCCATACCTGAAAAGATATGTAAACTGGATGGATTGGCAGTTCACTAGAACAATCGATGAAACGATGGATAATTCATCTACAACGGATGACAACTCACTCCGAATTCGAGTTGCGAAACATGGGTTCCTTGGAAGCTTCATCCTCCAAGTTGCTAATAATGCCCTAAACGTCTTACAAGGAAAATCCGATATAGTACAGCTATTTTTTGAGGATAATCTCGTAGGAAGATTCTATGAAGAACTGTTGGCGAGCTCCATCTGCTACCAGAAACTTCAATGCTACTTAGCAGACCTTTCCTTCAAGTATCCTAGCCTGGATTTTCTTGAAGTCGGCGCCGGCACAGGTTCTTTTACTGAACATATCCTCAAAGGAGTTTCGAGTACCGTATCTCCCGTAGAGAGATTAAATAGCTACTACTATACAGACATCTCCTCCACATTCTTTGAGGCTGCTCGAGAACGATTTCCTGCCTATTCTCCGAAATTGAAATTTGCCGTCCTCGATGTTGAACAAGATCCCCTGAGCCAAGGATTCAAGGAGAATACATTCGACGTCATTTCGGCATCTAATATTCTTCATATCACGGACGACCTTGATCGTGCACTTCAAGGACTAAGAAAATTGTTAAAACCGGGAGGCAAGTTCCTCCTTCACGAGTACATACACCCAGAAAGAATTGACGCCGGATTTATCTTTGGCTTGCTACCGGGATGGTGGCCAGAAACAGACGAAACCCGTGTAATGAGCCCCCTTCTAAATGAGGAATCCTGGGACATCTTACTGCGCCGAAATGGGTTTTCAGGTGCAGATTTCATCCTACGCGACTATGCTGATGAGGAATCTCATTTGATGAGCATCATTTGTGCAACAGCAACAGAGTCTAGAGATGATATACTTCCAGATGTAACTATTGTAGTTGAACCTGGCTCAAGTGTCCAAGAAGACATGGCAATCGCTTTAGCCTCGAAGCTTTCCGTCGAAGGCTATCGTGTGATCCGCATAGATTTAACAAAAGCCCGGGAAGATACTTCTTCTCTGAATGCGTTATCACGCTGTTCGATCTAGGAGAGGCCATTCTCTCCCGATTAAATGAAGGCAACTTCGAATTGTTAAAGTCACTTTTGTTAAGAGCTTCGAAGATTCTTTGGGTTTCTAAAGCGGACGCGTTTCCTTCAGCTCCAAGCCACGGTATGATAGAAGGCTTCGCAAGGGTTTTCCGGATAGAAAACATCAACTGCAAGCTCGCTACCCTGGCCCTGGGTACAAGTTCTGAATCACAAATAGATGATTGTAATCATGTTTTCTTCGCTTTAAAAAACGTTATGAAGCTTCAAGGCTTCGAGCAACCCGAGGATTATATTGTTGTAGATGGTTTTTTGAGATTAAGTCGGATATACGAGAATCTGGATTTCAAAAAAGCCATCTCGGAGAAAGTTCCAAGAGAAAGTCTGACCACCGAGAGTGAAAGAGGCGAGGCCTTTTTACAGTCATATTCAACGACTCAGAAAACCTCTCGAAACTGCAAATTACAGAAGACAACTCTACATTCTCTCCTATTGACCCCGAGGAAGTCGAAATCGAAATTAAAGCTATTGGCCTCGGTCCCATTGATTTTTCAATCCTTTCGGGCAAGACTTCCAATATTAACTTTGGTCGAGAATGTGCCGGTATCGTGACTAAAGTCGGCATCAACTGCGACATCGCTGTAGGAGATCGTGTATGTGCTTACAGCGCCGATCTATTTCGCTCCACGAGCCGAGCCAGACGAAATCTGGTAGCTAAGATACCGGAATCTCTGTCTTTCGAAGAAGCTTCCACATTGCCGCAGGACTCTTGTATTGCCAATTATATTGTGCGAGAAGCTAGAATCCAGCGTGATAACCTAGTAATCGTACGAGGTGGTGATACGAGACTTGGAAGAGCGACGTTAGATGTATTAAAGAAGTACGGTCCAAAGCTATACGCAACCCTATCGACGCCAAGTGATGAGCCCTTTTTTAGCGGCATCCAAAAACTCACAGAAAGCTGTTTTACCGAATCATTCAGATCATATTCTTCGAAGAAAGCTGACGTTATACTTGACTTCGTGGGCACCGATATGATGCAGCTAACAGAATGTGTATCAAAATTCGGCCAGATTTTGAGCATCAAGGAAGTCCTAGATGATAGTTCTATTCCAATGAGTCTCTTCGAGCTACCAGCCACTGTCAGCTTCCGAGTTTTGGATGTAGCTGCAGTATTACAACACCAACTTGATCGATTGGAAATGCCCTTTTCTGAAGTCAATGAAACAACTTCGATCCACCCTTTCCCCATAAAGACAATTGACCTCTCCGTTATCGAAACGGTTTCTTCCCATATAAGAGGTCTTGATCATGAAGAACGAATTGTCATCAAGTATGATGACGAAAGCCAAAATCAAGTAAGCCTCCTCTTCTAATCTAGATAGATAATTACCTAAGGCTAATACCTCTAAAGATTCACCGGACAGCTGTAAAGGAGAACCTATTCGATCCATCTGCCAGTTACGTGATCTCCGGTGGTCTAGGAGATCTTGGAAGATGCATAGCTGAGTGGATGGTGAGTCGCGGTGCTAGGAATCTCATTCTCTTATCACGCTCTGGTCCACGCAACAAAGCAGCCAGGACAACAATCCAGCATCTGGAGCAGTCGGGTGCTAGAATTTACACACCAGCATGTGATATTTCGGACCACTCATCATTTCAAAGGGTCCTACAGCAACTTCAAGATATACCTGCAATCAAAGGATGTGTTCAAGCTGCGGGTGTTCTCAAGGTGAGTAGAACGACGAAGAATTGGTTAAAAATTATAGGCTAACAAAATGAAAAGGATATTATGTATGATAAAATGAGCTTCGAAGATTGGAGAATTGCAGTCGATCCCAAAGTTCGCGGTTCTTGGAACCTGCACGATCTTCTTCCAAGGGGGATGGATTTCTTCATCTTAACGTCTTCAATCACCGGGATCATGGGTCAAGCAACACAGATCAACTACTCGTCAGGAAATACTTACCAAGATGCCTTGGCGAGATACCGTCTTTCAATTGGTGAAAAGGCTGTCTCTCTAGATCTTGGCCTCCTTTCCACCGGTGGATTACTATCTCAAAACAAAGGTCTAGCCGAAAGATTTGCTGCAGAGAATGTCTACACAGTGCTGTCTAAATCAGATATATTGGCTCTGTTTGACCATTTCTGTGATCCCAACCTTGGTTTAGATCAAATCCCGGCACAAGTAGTTTCTGGAATCATTAATCCATCCTTGCAAGATAGGCGAAGTCCTACTTTTCCCTTAGCATTCCATCATCCCTTCTGGAGTCATACTCTTGTTCAGAGCGGTAATGTCCCAGAATCAAGGGAAAGTCCGGACGCCACCGTTGGCATAGAGCCTACACTGCTTTCCGCGAGCTCTATTGCAGAGATGGGCGAAATCGTAGCCGGTGCACTTGCAGATCATATTTGCAGTCTAGTCAGAACCCCCCGAGAAAAAATCGACTTGGGAGAGCCACTCCGTATGGCTGGAGCTGACTCTTTGAGTGCGGTGTACCTTCGCAATTGGATTAAGAAGGAATTTGCGGTCGATGTCGCAGTTTTTGACATTCTAGGAGATATGTCGATCATTACACTTGGAAATTCCATTGCCAGTGAATGGCGGGCGGCTAGAGTTGTAAGTTAAATTAGATGTTTAGAGCCTTGACCACTGTATCTTTTCAATAGAGTGTGGCGCCAGAGTCACTTATTTGGTATATTACTTGAGTGCAGCATGTTTCTATTTATCCCCCTATATATGGTACCTAATTCACATAAGATGGGTAATATCTACAGAAATCTATTCTTTTGCCATATCTGGGTTCTTAGTTGCTACAAACGTACCCTCTCCCGACTTTGGGGCACCAATGTCGGCAATATTGGATAGCATTGAAACATAGATGTATCCACTGACGATATGCGCAACGCCAGCGACCCCATCTTGTCCGAGTATCTCTCTCGCCTGTTCAAAACTTGCATCATCCAATGGCTTACGCAGCTTCGTCAGTTTCAGTGCTAGGTTATAAACGGTAGATTCACGGTCGCTAAGACCGTTAGGAAGCTTTCCGTGGAACGCTTGCTGCACCTGCTCCTTGGTGAAACCAGCATAAAGGCCGATTTCAGAATGAGCATACTGTAAATATGGAACATCGTACTCAGAGGCGACGGCGAGGATACAGAGCTCCTTTTCCTTAAATGTAAAACGATGCTGGCGCATGACCTTAGAAGCGAGGGCAAGCCATGGGTCAGCAATGTCCTCCGTGTAACTGCAAAAACTTATTAGTAAAGCACACAAGGCTTTCTCTAAGTGAAGACATACAATAGTGAGGAATATGGACCATAGAATAGGCCTTGATCGTTCTTCTGGGTGAGATGACTTGGGAACCGAGAGAAGAGGTTTGCAATGCCATCGTGAGCGCTCTTCTGAGCGTCACTAAGTCCGTTTTCTGACACAAGGGGAAAGCGAGCCATGATTATCGCGCATACTAGTGTGACTATTGTTCTAGATAGAATATAATGATGGATAGAACATGTAAAGGTATGTCTTATTATAGCTACTGACCCCAACTGGACCGATCAACGATCAGCCTGCATTATTATTACAACCCCCCACACCCCTTTCCATACACCCCTCCTCCAACCCCAACTAAGACTCATAGGTAGTAGGATGTTGGGCATGTCGACTCGCATGCATATTGTTGCAATCCCTGCGACACACTCGTGTCAACGCCATCCGCCAATACGCACCCCTTTTCACTAATGACCGCCTCAGTCTTTGGTGCTCTCAAGCGGCAAGTTAATGCAATCAGAAATACTTGATGATTAAAGCTATCTAGAAAATGCCAAGCTAGTATGGGTCTATTATTCCAAGGCTGACTGCCTTGGCAGTACGACAGTCTTATAAGTGAGCTGATCAGCGGTTCCTTAAGATAACTAAACTATCCGGACCAAGACCGTTTTTTCATTCGCCCCATCTCCGATATTTCGTAACTGTATCCCGGAGACATAACCAAGGTGGAAAATATACAGTATGGAGAAACGCCAACTGGAAAAAGATTACTCACCACCCAAAAATGTCATCATCGTAAGCTATATCTAATACTTCCGTATATTTTCTATACCAGTGTATGTTTATGACCCTGAATAGATCGGCGGGTCCCTCTCCGGACTCATGCACGGCATTATGCTCCACAATCTCGGAAGCACAGTCCGAATTTTGGAACAATCGCTCACCCATACACCCGTCTCTCACATGGCAGGAGTATGCCTGGGCATCGATGTGCAGAACCTTCTGAAGCGATTCGATCGCACTTCAGAAATCCCCTTGGGTATCTCGGCCGTGCAAATTACACACAATCTTTCCCCCCACACTCGATAACAGGGCAATATCCACCACCCTTTTTTACGAATCAATCGTACATGTCCTCATGGGATGCACTCTATTTCCGGTTAAGGGCCATTTCGATATGCAAGCAAGCCACTACGTTCCGCATCCACCTGCATTAGATTTAAAGGCGGGAGAAGATGCAGATCGCGCTAAAGCGAGAGCAAGATATGAGATTGGAAAGGAAGTCATAGGTATAGAGCAGTTTAAGACCGGTCAGCTACTGGTTCGCTATAAAGGATCATACGGACGGCGGCACAGATGCACAAGCACTAGCAGACCTGGTACTCGGTGCTGATGGTCCAAACTCGATAGTTCGCAATAGATCTTCTTGAAGCCAGGTGAAGCAGATCGGAAAATACACGGGATATGTGGCATGGCGCGGCGTAGTTCCAGAAGAGCAAGTGAGTGAAGAGACACGAGAGGTATTTCGGGCAAACATAACCTATTCGATATTAAAGGGTGAAGGCGGCCATGTGATATTGTATGTTGAAAGCCTTTATATTAAAACTCATGAGCCTTGCATTTACTGATGTCTCTACGTAGGTATTATATACCAGGAAACGCGGTTTCTGTCGAGACTGGCAAGCGCCTCTTGAACTTCTGTTGGTATACTAATGTTCCGCTTTCCTCCCTGGATACAATCATGACGGACATCAATGGTAAGCGGCATCACACCAAACTACCACCTGGACAAGTCCGCCCCGAAGTCTGGGAGGCCCAAAAGTCTATAGCCAAAACACAATTCGCGCCACCGTATCTCGAAGTCATCGAAAAAATCGGATTACCTTTCCTACACCTCATCACTGATTACTGCTCTCCACGTGCCTCCTTTATGGGAGGCAAAGTCCTGTTAGTTGGAGATGCAGTTACCTTGCTGCGGCCGCACATTGCTTATTCTACGAATCAAGCCGCATATCATGCTTTATTGACCGAGAAACTAATCACTAGAAAATTGACGTTGAAGGAATGGGAGTACCAAGTTACGACGGCTGCATACCTGCAGTGGAGGCGGAGCGCGTGGTTTGGAGAGTACTTTCAGCGGCCCCTTTATATTTCAATTGGAACTGCCGTGCTCTTCTGGGCTACATCTGCATTGGCAAAGCTGAGGATCTGGATGGGGTGGTTGCCACCGCAGGCAATTTAAGTACTAAGTAAGGAGAATGGAGTATCATTCCAATAATCGGTTTTATATTCAATATATATTTACCGAGAAGAGGAAAACCCATAGCTTTGAGGGAAGAAGTCGGAGGGTTCAACACACTGCTTTCAAAGGTACGGAGACTTCACGAGAACTGATAGGAAGAGAGAATATACCTCGGTAACTAGTACCTACTCAAGCTCTTTATGCTTTTCCTATTGTCTCCTATCCTACCTACCTCAAGTACATACTACCAGCTACTTAGGTCAGCTAAGGCAGAGTATAACCTCCGTCAATTATCAAGTCAGCCCCTAATAGAAACTGTTAGCAGGAACCTGAAGTAAACACAGATCAAGACTGACCTGTTACATAACTGCTGGCATCGCTAGCTAAGAAAACGTATGCCCCTTTAAGTTCAGATGGCTTGCAAAACCTACGACCGGGAACCATCTCGATCCACTTGCTTCTCCATTCCTGAGGATGAACGTCGAGCACTACATGTCCGTTAGATGTGGCGCACCCGTTAGTACGGCACAGCCTAGGACTTACTTTCTGTTTCAATGAAGCCCTATTGTATATTATAGTTAGATTGATTTCTTTAAAAGTTTAGATGCAAAGGTAAGATCCCATACCGGCGAAATATTGTTAACCCTTGTGTAATCCACCCACTCTACAGCTAGCGACTTTCCAAGATGGACTAGAGCAGCTTTACTCGCGTTATAAGCAGCCTGGTTTTGAGGAATATTGACGAGTGTTGCCGACACCGATCCTGTAAATATGATGGACCCCCGGTGCGGTTGCCCGTCCGCCTTAAACTGTTTCTCAAACACGCGCGCCGCAGCCTGTGCTGCCCAGAACGCTCCGTTTACGTTAACGTCGAATAAATCACGGAACTTGTCTTCTGGGTAATCCAGAGCCGCGATGTTTGCGGTGACGCCTGCATTCGCTACTAGAATGTCTAGTCGGCCGCCACCTACCTCCTCTGCAACTGCGTTCACGACGGCTTCAATCTCAGCTCGTGAGCGCACATTGCACTTATATGCTTTGACTAGTCGACCCTCGTTGGCGGAGGATATTTGCGCAGCTATCTCATCCGCTTCTTTCGGTGGCGTGCTTGAGTAGGTTATCGCCACCTTCGCGCCGGCTTCGCAAAGCCCCCGCGCAACCTCAAGCCCAATTCCTCGACATCCTCCGGTGACTAGAGCAGTCTTGCCGGCGAGGCTGAAGTGCGATAGCACTGGGGCTTCTGGATTAGGGTGAGGTGCAAGAACCATATTGAATACAGATTAAAATTTGGGATAAAATACGAGATCTGTGAAACTTGATATGTTACTCTTTACATAGAAACTTAAATACGCACGGGGTCTGAAGCCCGGCATCACATTTTAAGGGGGGTAGTACCAGATGGGGTTTGGAATAGAGGTGCTCGGCTCGTATTCGTGCGGTTAGTGGACTACATCATACCGAAACTTAGACTAATAGACAAAATTCTTGATCCTCTCCAATCAAAATGATCCAAACTCCGAAGCGGATATCGGGTAGAGTGGGACTTGGAAAGCCTCTTTGATATTCTCCTCACTAAAGTGGCACTGGGGCGCTTGAGTAAACCATAAGGATATAAGGCCGGAATAGGATTAGCTACAAAAAAGGTGGTAATTAGAAGTCTTCATGGAAAGTCTAATTGGGAATGTGACCGACGAAGATATCTACCTAATAGATATTAGAGGAACAATAGAACCCAAGTAGCTCTCCAATAGCATAATTTTAGATCTATTAGACGCCTAGCGTATACGCGTATAATTCCGAATATAAACCGCTATCTTTAAATAGGTATTCTCTTAATTATTCGTGATCCCCTGTAGGAGTCATAGGATTTTATTAGCAATAAATAATTTAAGTGAGAATTTCTTGAACAGCAAGGTCTATAAGAGTGAGAAAAATCTCTATAATGTACGCTCGAAGACGGGTCCCGGGTGACCTCCGTAAGTGGATCGCGATATTCTCGGATTTCGGCTCCGGTACCACTTGACTTCTAGCACTGCCGGATCTAAGATTCAACGCAAGAACAATGTTGTCTAATATGCAAATAAAAGCTGAGCAGTTTTTATAACTAATTTAATAACCTCAACCTTAGTACTCTTATCACATTGTAAAGAATAGAGAGCCCTTGAAGTACCGTAGTTGATGGTAACGTACCTAGGTAATCTAGGAGATGCTTTTATGGATTCCGGTTGGTTCGGTGCTCGCTTATATACGTCATATCCGTCTTGGATTCGAGCTATAGATGGCATCCTAATATTTACATATCTAAACATCACTAAACAAGTACTACTACTATCACGATTCTCACACAAGTACCAAAGACATACATGGCCCATAACATAAAAACAGTTAATATTACAGGAGAGGTTCTATACTAAGGTAACGAGTAGACTAGATTTTACTTTTTAGGGTGGGATAAGTATGGTTCGTATAGTTAATGCATCATAATGACCGAACAGCTCCGGTACCAAACTCCAAGACCGACAATTTATTTTTTCCTTCTATTTTACCGTGGAGCATCCGTCACATTCTATATGCCTTGTAGCTGCTGTCGCTCGGCTTGTGATACTCCGACAACCCCTTATTCCAACGAACGAGCTTGTCGGTGGACTCCGAGGTTGTTGGTTTGCCCGCCTCGTACATAGAGTCCAGTCGAGCTAGCGCTTCGTCGTTGCCGTTACGTCTCTTTCGCCATACACATCGAAGAATCAAAATAATCATGATGATGAGCACAAGACCGCCTCCGCCTCCGGCAATACCCGCAACAGCTGCCACCGGGAGGTTGCCAATCATTCCAGTATTCCCATTGTCTACTGTCTGTGCTTGGGTAATAGTATTACCATTAGAGTCGGCTATAGCGCTTTGCGTAGCGGCGGCGTTTTCCTGGGGAAGCTGCGTAACCCCGGCCGCGAGAGTCGAGGAAGGTTGTGTTGGAGCGTCCAGTGTACTACTAGGTGTCTCTGGGATGTTGAGACTTGTAGCTACACTATCGAGGATAGAGCTAGATGGTTCAAGAGTAGGGCTTGATGGGCCGGCGATAGAGTTCGATGGTTTAGTGGATGTTACGAGGGTTGTTGGCGGTGGTGCCGATGTTGTCAAGATTGATGTTTTAGAAGAAGGCGAAGGTGAAGGCGAAGACGAAGGTGTTGTTGGTGAGCTGGCAGCCGGTGTTGTAGTTGACTCAGGACTAGTAGTCGGCTCGAGACTAGTAGTCGTCTCCGGTGCATCGGGAGTTGAGATGTCTGTGTTTTCAGCAGCGCCGGGATTGAGTGCAATTGCCGTAGTCTGAGCCGGTAAGTCCGGCAACCCCGCAGTAGAGGTTTCTGGAGTACTGGCACTTGTGGGTTGTTGACGTTGTGGTTGTTCGTCATCATCGTCATCACCATCGTCATCACCATCGTCGTCGTCGTCGTCCTGGTCCTTCGAACTTCCGGGCTCGGGTGTAGCTGTTGTCTCGCCGTCCGAAGTCGCAGTCGCAGTCGCAATCTCTCCGGGACTAGCTTCTGAAGTAGTTTTCTGGTCTGCGTTCCCAGTATCCTCCGCTGATGTCGCTAGTTGCGAATCCCGATCATTGTCGCTGTTATTATTCCCACCTAAAAGACCTTCGCCTAAACCTCCCAAAGTATCGCCCAAACCACTTAAAAGGCCAGCCATGGTAGAATAGAAATATAAAATAGAACACCAGGTCCAAAGAAAGAATATTAAAAAAAAGAATTGTACGATGCTATCACCAGGACTCTCGCATCGAATATTGTTACTCAAAGTTACGAAGGAAGATTGAAGATAGTTACCTTGAAAGGTTTCTATCTAGAAAACCCAGGAAATGGGGACTCCATCCTGGAAGTACGAAAAGCGTCGCGCTAATACACCCCCAGATAAACCCTTCGGAAGAGGCTTGGTCTGAAGTCATGATTCGATTCTCTGGCACGGTCTCGGTTTCATGTTCCCTGGCAAAACCATCCCTGGATTGGTGTTTCGCGCCGGGAAGGGATTGATCTTCACTTGATCTGCACATTGTAACACCCCTGTTAAGGCGCTCTGTGCATATATAGGCCCTGCATTGGGACCCTTGGTCGATCAAACATCATCAGGTATTTATGGGTCTAATTCGTTTCTTCCATATCGTCTTAGTAGCCAGAGTACGTAGTTGAATAGTTGACTTTGTTTCTCAATGTGACGCATAGCCCCTGTTGATCATGGGTATGCGACAAGAACCTAGGTACATACGTAAGTCGGCTATCCTCAACATCGTCGGAACGACGGCAAGTTTTCAGCTGAATACATAGAAGTATATTTTACTTTTTTTCATTGCTCTTAGTGGCTGTAAAACCGTATGGCATAACAAACATGTAACTAGAACTTATGGTTTCCATCTCTAACTTGGAATTGTATTGCATTGTACCATTCATTGCATTGTTGGTGAGCCTCTCCCACATGCACTAGTTACCTCAGTATGTAAAAGCGACTTCATAGTCTAGATCCAAGTTAGATTCAGCGCAACTGTAAGAGTAGCCAATCTATAATTTGATCTTGCCCAGATTATTGGCAGATGAGTTCTATTATCGATTACAACTCTAAGCTATCACCAAGTAGCATTAAACGCGGAGGCCTCTTAACGATCTACATATTGGAGGCTTCTGTTGTGGGGATATCCACTTTGCTAGCCGCCATTCACTTGGTCTTCGTGATAGTTCGAAATCTCGACAGCGGTAAGAAATATCTTTGCGGAAGCCGCGGAAGGCTACCTACCTGGATATTCATTCTCGACGGCGCGGTACGGTTCGCGTTTAAACCCAGGGCTTAACCGAGCAATGAATACCTGTATCCTCGGCATCGTTAAGACGACATGGTGTTACTTATTCATTGATTTGATGTCAAGACGCGGTAGCTTGATCCTCAACCATCCTTAGACCTTTGTTATCCAGCCGATCTGCTTTAATACAGAAGGATTGGTCCCGCTAAGGGTTGTTTCTCCGGTAGAGCTACCGGATAAGCCAATTCATTCTATTCCGAGCATTGATTATTCTTTTTCATGTCATTTCCTATGGGCCACGATGGGCTATGTGCACTATCTAGGTCGGGTTGTTGACGACGTACTATATTCTTGTTAGAGACGTGCTGCTATCTCGTCTGCAAGTTCCGTCGAACTTGCCTCGTCATCTGTGTATAGACAAAGGGAGTTCCGTCATTATGAGTCCCTAAAGTAGCACTTGACGACCTGGAGCCACTGGCTAAATTTAGTGTCCGCTTTCCCCAATGCTCTGCTGTCATATCCACTGCCCATCACCTTCTGCTCGAGCCACATTTCCACTTCTGACAGACGGCAATTGACCTCCTGCTCATTTTCCAAGTTTATCCAATACCTTCCTGCCCACTCTATGAAAACAAAGAACCGTCCCATACGTGTCAGCGATCGAAAGGGCAGCAGAATGTCCAAATAGGGTCTCAGCGTCAAATCTTGATCTCTATCCATGGTGAAATTGCCCTCTCCAAATGCTTTACTGGTCACCCTCTGACGACCCTCGTCACGTATGCTGTATCTTGGTGGCTCAAAGCGAGTCATATAGATGGCTATCGTTAAGGCGGGGAGGTTTGCATGGGTTCTAAGGGACTCGGCAATACTCTGCCAGTGAGCGTATGATACGGAATCTGTGAAAGGGACATGCGTCTCAAAAGGTGGACATACTAACTCCAAGTAACGAAGATAAGATAGTGTATCGGGCCTGAGAAACTTCGTGATGAATATAAAGGTTTCGAGTCCAGCTAAGAGGGGTGAGCGGCCCTTCCATATTCCCACGAGCGGCATGATAATTATGCGATTATAGGTATAAAAAACGGCTCGAGAAGATTCACACATGGCTCGGCTAACGAGGAATAAAGCCTGTGGGGGATGCCAGCATCGACAGTGAGGGGAGTAAACACAGTGATCACGCATGCAAAAGCATCCAAGCTCGAAATGATAATCTGAACAACGTTGGAATACACTACGGTCGTAGTATTCCGCAGACCATGCCTCTATAGGAAAATCATAATAAAAGCCACGCTGTGGATTCCACAGGACCTCATTCGTAGGGGTGATTAGATCGGTGTGTTTAGTATCGATTGCTGGAGGTCTTGCGGAAGATCAAGGAACCGGAAAGGCTGATCTAGATGAGTAGGTTTGACTGACACTATGATGGCTGCTTGTCGAACCATGGAGTAGAGATCATATGTGCCGTGTTTATATGTGCTATGATTAAGACGCAGTGAGCAATCCTTGACGCTTCCGGGAAAATTATGAAAAGGCGCCAGCACTTCGGGGACGATACATGTCTGTGAAACTACGTCGCAGATAAAGCGTAAGCTAAGATTCTGAGGATTTGAGTATGTGAGAATATGCTTTGCAGTCTTTTGCCATGCATCAATGCGACTTTTTTGAATAGGCTCCATCTCTACATTGTCCGTATAATTTCCGTGACAGTAGCTTTCGTCCAGGTTAAGATGTACGTATAAGTTGGTCAGCTTGTAACAAGCATGAGGAGTAATATTGCCAAGAATACGGAGGCCATCATCTACGGCCCGGTGAGGAACGAGTAAGAAATTCTCGGAGTAGATTACAGCACTGACTTCGGCATAGACGGCCTTGCAAGTCTGAAGAAGGTAGAATGTGAAATGGAGCCTATCACACCAGTCGCAAGGGTCACTTTCGAATATTTTATTTTGATGATTTTCCCCTTCAAGGTCATCGTGAGGTTGTTTTAATGAGTGTATGTAGATTGATTTTCCGCTGGGGAGACCTGCATAATGATAAATTCGCCGTCGGACGGGAGCTGGGAGATCCAGGAATGTCCTATTATGTGTGCAGGTCGTCCGACCAAGCCAATGGCATATTCTTTCTTGGTCCATGACCATAATATGACCGAAAGGCAAATATTGATTAAGTTAGGCAATAGGAGCATATAAGAAAAAGCACAAGTCAGTGCGACTCGAAGCTAGAGTGGTAGGTAATTTATAAAGGCGCTGTACCTCCACAAGGATGGTGGGCACTCAAACAAGCCCAAACCAGACACGACGTTTCCAGGTAACAAGCCACGTTTTACAACTGTATATTAGATAGAGTCAGACGTACAGGGCCTTACAATTATAATTCCGAATAATTAACTACTAGGTATTTACTAGTATAAATTTGTAAAATATGTTACTGCTTAACTTAATGTACCTATATAGGATCATTGCGGTATTCAAACAATTTGATCCTCTAGGTCAGTTCTTCAGACCAGATACCCCGCACCCTACGGTGTCATTTCCAAACGATTACCGGTCTTAAAGCCGTATTAGATGAACTAAAATAGAGGCTGATAGTTATCGTAGAGTCTTCATATATTTCCTTAATCATTCATACCGGCGTAGTTAACGTGAAGTTATGAAAGTAATGCATTTGTTGGAATAGTGTGAATACAGAAGGATACCTGTTCAACATGGCCAATATCAATCTGATAGAGGAAATGCGAGGGGTAGTCAGTTCGGCGATTGATCGCGCAGATCAAGACTTGAGAAAAAATATTAACCAAGAATTACACCAACATCCCGAAATAGCATATCAAGAAGTGTTTGCACACGATACAATCACTCGATTTCTTCAGGATCGAGGCTTTGCCGTTAAACGCAGTACTTAAATCTACCAACGAGCTTCGAAGTCGAGATTGGCTCTTCTGGACGACTTGTGGTAATCTGTGCTGAATACGATGCACTACCTCAGATCGGTCATGCCTGTGGCCACAACTTAATCGCAACATCATCTATTGCCGCCTTTCTCGGCGCTGCTGAGGCTTTGAAGGAGAGCGGTGCTGCTGGAAGAATCCGAATACTAGGCACTCCTGCCGAAGAAGGCGGTGTGGAAAAGTAAAACTACTCGATGCCGGGGCATTTAAAGATAATATTGCAGCAGCCATCATGGCTCATCCAATGCCTAGTCATCAGATATCCGGATCTAATGCGTCACATACATATGACGGTCTAGCAGGATTAAAGATGATAGCGAGTCATAAGTTTCGCACCGAGTTTCGTGGGAAAACAGCACACGCTGCCGGTGAACCGTGGAATGGTGTTAATGCCCTTGATGCGGCCGTCGCAGCATATAGCAGTGTCGGACTTCTTCGTCAACAAATCCAACCCGATGAACGTGTCCATTCCGTAATTGAGGTCGGCGGGACGGTGCCCAACGTAATTACAGCCTACACGCGTATGAACTGGAACGTTCGAAGTCCAACTATTGCTGGAGCTGATAAATTGCTTGCCCGTGTGAAAGCGTGCATAGAAGGAGCAGCCACTGCAACTGGCTGTGAGCTCAATTATATCATGTAAGTTTTCTGGATGCATGCGAATATCATAGCTGACAGAAGTAGAGCACCGACTTACGCAAACTTGACGGCAAATAAGGCTCTTTGTGAGGCATATGCGGATGAGATGGGGCGGATTGGGGATAAAATTATATTACGGAACGAGAAGCCCGTAACGGCGTCAACGTATGGGTAACGTCTCTCATATTGTACCGAGCTTCCACGGCGCATTCGCAATATCAGCGCCACCGAACACTTCGCTCCATAATCCCGGGTTCACCGCGGCGGCTAGCACCGACGAAGCTCATGAAAAGGCCCTACGATGTGCGAAAGGGATGGCGATGCTCGCCGTTCGGGTACTTTTAGATGAAGAACTCGCTTCTAAGGCTGATTATGACTTTCAGCATAACCACGAGTGGTGAATGCACAATTGAATGGGTCTTCAGATACCTGTAGAAACATGTCCTATAATACAATTAAATCAATGTAGTTATTGTAGTATCTTTTAATAATGACTCCAAAACTTATTATCCGTTGACATTTATAATAGTTCAAGTAACACTACCCCCCGTACTACTTCTTACAGTGATGCGGCGTACCCGAGAGTCTGGATCAAAACCGCCCCCCCTTTTCGCATTTATCATTAAGGGGTTATTCCAGCAATAATTTAGGAAGGATATATGATGTTATACATCTTCTTATACCATTCATACTAGTATATGCATATCCTAATACTATCTCTTTTATATCAAAACCCGTACGCTTTCAGCATTGGATCCTGGAGAAACCGCTGCATGGTTTCCTTCTCTAAGCATACGCTAATATCAAAATCCCCCGTATCGGCAATGTCCATGACCTGGACGAGCCCATCCATGCGCGGCATTACGCCTTGCACATACCGAGCTAGTTTATTCATCCCGCAGAAGTCAACCTCGTATGCCTGTGCTCGTACCCATGAAGTAACGAGTGTATGTTTGGAGCCGAGGAAGGCTTGCCATAGGCGCTGTGGGCTAACCTCGTAAGCTGCATCATGAATATATGCAGACACAGCCTCGGGAGTGAATAGGGACATCGTATGTCTAATCGAACCAGCAATTGAACCGATTGTTGCAGTGCTCACTTCAGAGCCGGGTTTAGCAACATAACCCAACAAGATCGGAGATCCAGAGAAGGTATCTGGTAGTGGCGGGTTGACCCGATTGCGAACCCCGAGGGTGATGTCAATATATACCTGATCTTGAAACTTCTCAAGCTGCCTTGCGCGGTTGATAAGAATCCAGATGTGCGCCAAAGTAGCGTCAAGCCGCGAGACGCGGTGCCCTCTCAGGGACTCGGAAGGCTATTCTCTGCAGCTTTCTTCAACGTGATAATGGTTTCCGCCTTGAAGCGGATTTGCACATGTTCCACGGGAGAAGCCATATCCCACGTTGGCCAAGGTGGAAAGGAGGAAGGGCTTAGCTCTGAGCGAGCCAGTTCCTCCGGTGATGGTCTCGTCCCAAGTGTTGACGCTTCGGCCCAGGAAGGATATCCCGGTGCATCTTTAGCCCACCAATCGTATCTATGCATGGGTAGAGCCCTCGCCATCCTAACTTTCTCTGGATCTGGCCCTGTAGGGATGAGATGGGCGCGCTGATCCAGCTGCGAGGGTTCGAATAACGGTACAAGATGCTTTTCCTCGCCGGATCCGTTACTTCCAAATAGATATCGCGACTGCGCTGCCCAGGCATGAGCGAATTGCATAAGACACATAGCATCGGAGAGACAATGTGTAATCTTGATGCTGATCGCAAATCCACCGCATTTGAAGCTCGTTAATTGGATAGTAACGCCAGGCAGGCCCTCAAACTCCGACAAGCTCGAGAATGCAAGTTTCGTTTTGGCGAGGAGGTCATCCTGAGGGAAATCCGTCGCATTCCACACTTGTTTAGCAGCTAGTCGTTCCTCTTGGCTTGGTACTATAGCACTAAGCTCCCGGCTATCCTCTACAATTGTCAATTCCACTCCAGGATCTCCCGGGCTGCCGTATACAACCACCGGCCGACCGATATACCGAGGATTGACATCTCCTTTCACAAGTTCCTCTGATGCCCATCGGAGCTGGCCTGCGAAATGTGGGTAGTCGTCCAGGGTCTGCCTAAGCGCTTTCTCCAACCGTTCGAATAAAATAGGATCATGCGAATCAGCGTTTTCTGCTCGATCGTAAAGCCAGATTGCGCCGCATGCTGCAAATCGCGTGACAGATGCGTCAAGAATAGACAATTTCGTAGTTGTTATCTGTTTTGGACCGTTCAGGGGGAAGACCCTCTTTGTATTTTGAATTTGATCTGCTGATTCCGTCATGACACTCCGGCTCTTCAACCTCGTCTCCAAATATTGTCAGAAAATTGTGCTCTAAGTCTTTTCCTGGGGTAAGATCCAGCTTTCTAGTGTCGGCGTTAGACTTTCATTTCTTCTACCCGCGTAGCTAAAATGACACTGTTCGTTTGTTGCGATATGATTTAAGAGGGTTGGCAGTGCCTATAAGAGCACTGCCTTACTTATATGCCCTGAATAGGGGTCCGCTATTGAGTCTAGTTGAGTATAAGAAATCCGCCTTAGGAATGCCGTAAGAACGATAAATGAACCCCTATTGGGAAAGCTATTGATCGGATATGATCGGGTATGATTCATAATGATTCATAATGATCTGTGGCTGTGCCGTAATCCATAACCAAATATCCATATCCTACCATCGTCGTCCTCCGCCACAGGACGAGTGGGTACTTACTTCTGACGGTAGAAAATTCCATGGTATCTTAGCCAATTAAAATTCAGCAAAGTTGCAATATATTCTATTTAGGAAGAGACCCCATGGAATCTATCCATTCACAATATCAAACGTAGAAGAAATTCCTTTATGCTAACCAAATCACTGGCCTCTTTCGCCTACGGACCTCTCCCGTACTTATCGGTAGCGGACCGAGACCCCCTGCGTAGAATTAAGAACTGCTACTGTATTTCTTTTCAAGCTTGGTAGTATATGTATTAGGTTAGGTGTAGTACCAAAGGCCCCTTTATAATGATAATCACTATTAGATGTTTAAGTTGCCTATCATTTGGACGAAGACAACCTATCGAAGCCCCGGTGTACGTACCAGCAACATTCGAAACCACACTCTATGCTAGTGCCGAGTTAGTATAGGTACCGGGAGTTGAATATAAGAAAGTGATAGAGTGTGATTATATTTGGTTTCGTAAATTTCCGATACCAATCCTCAGCTAAGAGGTAGGTATGTAGGCCGCTAGGCTTCTTCAACCTCTACGGTTTTTGTCATATTTCGACTATATCATTTACACAATTCAGAGTGATATAGCATATCGAAATATCTAGGAAATTTTTGCATGCTTATTTATTTTGATACACATATCCATAATTTCAGTTACAGCCAAGCTTTAGCACACACTCGGCCCTACCGATAGAGCCTCCGCAACCTGCTTGGCCACTACATCATGGATAGGATACGTTGGATGCAAATTGTTAAGCCAGAAATATTCGTTTACGGCAACTCCACAGCTAGGGGTAAACGTGTCGTCATCGGGCGTGCCACTGGGATTATTAATACTTCGCTCAAATACAGTACAAATCAATCGTTCGGCGCTCTTGGGGGGGTATATCTTACTTTTGATACGCGTTGCAATAACCTGTGGTATTCTTAAGGCCAGCAGTTTCTTCGTATGTGCTTGGCTTATCCAAAACCTCTGCAAAGCTCTTGTTTGAGTCGTAAACCCAAACGTTGACTTCGTCTGTATGATTGCTCTTCAATGTAGCGGCTGTATCCGATACGCGTTTGTTCCAATCTGCTATCGCTTCTTTCTCCGTTTCCACAGATTCTTTGCCCTGGCCAACAGTTAATGGGCTGCGGTCCACAGGCGGAACGTTGATAAAGACGAAATTTCTGGCGCCACTGTCATAGAGCTGATTAACTAGGCCCGAGTAAACATCGAAAATCTTAGTGTATAAGGGACCCGAGGATTCTGGTCCAGACCCATACGAGTTACCAACATCGTTGATACCAATCCAGAAGGCAAAGATGGAGTCGGCACCCGTCCATTTAGGTGCGGAGGGAGCTTTGGCAGAAGTTCCCGTGTAGCCCGGGATAAACTCTTCTTCTACCTGTTGCTTAACAGATAAGACGGTAGGCATATAAGGCTTAACAAGATCTGAGTCGACAGTCGCACCTCCGTAAGCTAGATTGTAAGTTTGTAAAAGCGACTGATTATATTTGACGGTTAGATATCCAACCCAGTTAGGCCCATTCGACGACGTCCACCCCGGATATTGAGGGTTTCCAAATGGATTAGAAGGTGAAGGAGCGGTCTGCGTATAGTTGAATCCTATGAGTGAATGTTAGGACCGGTCCCCTTAGGTCAGTTAATTTTTCTTTCAGTACCTGTCTGTGTGTAGCTATCCCCACTAGAAATAAGTTAGTATTTTCTATGAAGAATCTGATCAGAAACGCTAACAAGATGAAGGCATGCTTGATATCCTTCCAACCCGTCCATTCTGTCGTCACAGCACACCCCTTTCTCGCCGAGGGCGCGCGTACGTACTCGTCGCAAGACATGCTAACGTTGCAACTACAAAGTGGGCCATTTCTTGGTATCCTAATGATAATATACTACTGGGCCTGCTCTGCTTGGTTGAATCTAAGTCACTAATCCGATGACTAAGTCTCCTAACCGAACATTCGTGGTAGGCTTAGGATAGACCCTGGCGTCGACTAATGAGTGGAATGGAATTGGGTTTGAAAACCACAGGAACCAAGCTATGAGACGTTATATATCGGAGGACTTATTTTAGAACTCGTGTAAGACATCTTTATAAATAGATATACTTGGAATTGGGGGCGGCCCTTTCGCTGCATTCAGCATTTAACAGCACGGAATGAATTTTGGTACCTATCATAGTATGGTCTGATTCGATACTAGCCATCTATACTTCATCGCTAAGCGATTTAATACACGAATTGCAGTTCCATGGTGGAATGGTTTCGGTGTTAGCACGCCCATCCACCAACACAAAAGTTGGGAAGACGGGGCGTCGAGCGCCGCCCTTTCGAATCTAGCATCAAATTCCGATGTGAGTTCCCACTTTCAAATCCAATTAAAGATGAGAAGGTCGCAATTCAAGGCTACCTCTTAAGCCTATACGGAGGTAGAGGTTCCGAACCACGATGGGATAGGTAGGTTAGGAGCACACATCGAAGTTATGCTGCTACGCCGGTCAAGAACTCTATCCGAGCTTCGCATAAAGGAAAGCTAATATCTTAGTCGGAATGGAAGAAATAATTCCCCGGAAAAGTTGCTGATGAATACATTCATTGATTTTGTACTATGCGTACCATCCTACTATTTCAGGTTTTCGATACTAAATCAAACAAGCTTGAGAACAGCAGAACTACTACTACCTATAGTACTATAGACCAGGTCCAAGTTATAATATTTTAAGTTCCTCACATGTAAATAGAGAGCTTTATTCTTAGCATCCGAAAAATAATGTAAAGAAATAGTACACTTTCTGACGACAGTGGCGTGACTCAGCTTTGCGATCGTTACCTTGATGTACGATGTCGAATGCCCCTGTATTTACCACAATTTAATCAATGTCTTAAGTATTTTAAGTCGTGCTACCTGACACCTCTAATAGTAAGAAGCTAATTACGCCACGGAGGCCTACGTGAGAGTAAAACATGATGGTAGAAAGTTATTGGAGGCTTATGAACGCCATTAAATTGCGACTGTATCTCAAAACAAGCCAATTATAAGATGCATTGCTGCGGAGTAACTAATATGAGGGAGATATATAGCTGTAATTGGTTCCGTAATAGGTACTTACCTATGGAAAGATTTAATAAAGTTACGTAGACTTTATATCAAGGGAATAAATATATTTATCCACCTACTATTATTAAACATGGCTTATATTCCCTTTACGATGGATTTCGTTAACCCGCCTACCTTCCACTGCTATCAAGTACTAGCTATCTCGATAGGAATATGGGTGCTATACCAAACACTCATCACAATCTATAACATATCCCCTTTGCACCCCTTAAGCCATATCCCTGGACCGGTGTTGGCAAGAGCTACATATTTACCGGAGTTCTATTATGACTTAATAAGAACCGGCCGCTATACAAAACAAATTCAGATTATGCACAATAAATATGGTAAATGACAGTGTCGGAAAGGCACCCTATAATACTACTACTGACAGACTATTCCAGGGCCTATCGTTCGCATAAGTCCTAACGAGACACACTGCAACGACGTGGATTTTATAGACGAAATCTACGCTACATCTAATCGTAAACGGGAGAAACCACTACACTTTGTCCGCGGTTCAATGTTTGGTGAATGCGCGTTTGATACTATCGATCACGATCTACATAAGATTCGACGCACGGTAATAGCTAAATATTTCACGCGGGGAATGGTCAACCAATCAGAGAAGGATATACATCAGTTAACACAGACTCTCTGCAACAAGCTATTGATATCACCTAACGATCCGATCGATATCATTGAAGCTTATAATTGCTATACTGCAGATTCCATATGCTATTACCTCTTTGGTGAAGGCTTCGGTTTTTTGAATCAGAAGGGGTGGTCTTTAAACCTTCACCATAACATTCGTTCCGTAGGCATAACCAGGTTTATATTCCGCTTCTTTCCTGTCTTTGCGAAGCTTTTAGATCTTAGTTATCAGTTTGTCAAGCCTCTATTCTTAGAACCGTCTAAACCAGTCTCTCTAACAAAACACTAGTTTTATTAATTATGTCCTTCCCGATGATATTAGATTTCTTTTCCGAACGTTCAAGGTTGAGTTGCCAAATCGTATTCAAAACATACGTACTGAGATCGACTCGGGAATTATAAGAGACCGGCCTACTGTCTTTGGCTCCTTATTACGGCTAGAACCCGAGCAGCGGAAACATCTGAATTTTACCGACGAAGCTGCATTGATCACCAATGCTGCGTCGGGGACCACAACCTGGGCATTAACCGTTATTACGTATCATATTCTAAACAAGCCAGAGATACTAGCAAATCTAACACAAGAGCTTAATAAAATCGTGGATGACCCCCAGCACCTGCCTCCTCTTAGTCTGCTTGAAAGCCTTCCCTATCTTGCAGGAGTTATCCAAGAAGGTCTACGCCTTTCTTACGGTAATATAGGTTCCCTTTACTTCTATTTTTCTCTGTCGTTTAGAAAAGTAGTTAGAAGTAGCTGACAGATAGTTGAAACTACTTGTAGGTGCGGCGGGTCGCTCACCACGTGTTCCGATTGATGAAGATCTAATATATGGAGAATGGAAGAAGAAACCAGTGAGCTATGTCATCCCTAGAGGCTACGCTATTGGCATGTCGTCTTTTATTATCCACCACAACGACGATGTATTCCCCAATTCGCATTCATTCGTTCCCGAGAGGTGGCTTGACTCCAAAAGTAGAAAAATACTGACTCGTCATATGTTTGCATTTTCGAGAGGTGGTCGAAATTGTTTGGGGATGAAGTAAGCTGCTCTCACTGTCTATTCTAAGCCTATTATCAACTGCTAACAGGCACATTCTCGATAAGCTTTGCATTGTGTGAGCTTTATATGGCAGTGGCCGCACTCACGCTGCGTGTTTTCCCACGAATGCATCTTTTTCAAACGACGGAAGAAGATGTAGCTTACGACTATGACATTTTCTCGCCCATGCCAAAAGCTAGTAGCAAAGGTGTGCGAGTAGTTCTCACGGCTATTTGAAAGCGATTTTTTCTCTTTTATTCTAACGTAGCTATTTTATTTATTTAATTATTTTTAATATGAGATGGAAGCTATATAGAAATATTTTACGCATTATGTGAGCTGATTTATATCAGGGGCTAGGAGGTATATGGTTGAATCAAGGATAGGCGTTGGAACTGTCCAGGGCATGTCTTCTGAGTCTCCTTGTGTAAGTTTTTTGGAAGATGATTTCGAAGAAGGTGATTTGGATTTTTTTTCGTATGAGTAAGATCGATATTGCGTGAGTTGTTACGTGAATGTCTTTTGGATGTTTAGGGGTCTATAGTGACTATTAAATTTAGAGGGGAAAGCGATAAATGAACAGTATAAATCGTACGACAGCGCTGTTTTAAGGCATAAATATAACTTGTAAAAAAAGAAATCTGCTTACGAATTGGCTAATAGAAGTAGTTGACTTAGGTTAGGTACATTTTACATTTAACAAGCTTGCTCGATTTTTCTTTGCTTTTTATCAAAAGGTAATTATCATGAGTCCATCTCTACCCCTTTTGGGTACGTACCTTAGGTAGGTACTTATTATATGATAGATCATTTATTTCCTTATCACAACGTCGAATTTCCTCCTTATGCCCAACTTCGGAAGGTTTATTGCCGTTGCCCTTCCAATAGATAGGTCGATTAAATATCTTTATTATTAGTTGATATGATGAAACATCACCGCAACTCGAAGTTGTCGAGAGACTCGAATATTGCCCTTATAGCTGAGTCGATACAAACACCGCGATTCCGTAAACGATTGACACGTCGCACGCCCATTCGATCTGCATCCCGCTTCGTTCCTCAAGACCCCAACGAAACACCAGAACATCATTTTCCTCTTCAAACTATTTCCTCGCGATTTGCCCAATCTCGCTTCATCAACCGCTACGATAGCCGTGAGATATTGATTCTTGTTGACGGAAGTTGCGTCAACAATGGAAGCAAGGATCAGATTGCTAAGCCGTCTTCCGGTGGATGCAGTTTCACATTTAAAGGGCCAGGAAGATATGGATCCGAAGTAGAGTATCCTTTCAAGGATGCTCATTATAATGACGGTGGGATGGTTGGATTTCCTCTGGAGAAGTGCGGACCTGGAGGCGAAAGTTACGATGCAACAAGTAACAGGGCAAAACTTAGGGCAGTAATTGCAGCACTCGAATTCCGCGACTGGCAAGAAGAAGGATGGCAGCGCATCGTCGTCGCGACAGACCTGAAATATGTTGTCGATGGTGGTGCAATAAGCCATCTACCAACCTGGGTTCGACGCGGTTGGCGGACTAGCAAGTTCAAGAAAGTAGCTAACCGAGACCTATGGGAAGAACTCCACGGCGTCATTGAGAACTTGCAAAGAAGTGGTACCTCGATTTCATTCTGGCTGCTTCGTTCGGGAAGCTTGGCTAAGACCAGGTCAGCACTGGTACGCGAGACCAAAAAAGCCGCCAGAGAGACTGCTAGAGAGCATATTGATGAAATTGCGCTGGAATTTACGAGGCTATGCGGCATCATGTTATAAGGCCATACTGTTTCGATTTGGGAAGTTTCACAAGGCCTGTGTATCTGATTTGATATGGCAAGCATCAAAAGAGAGAAACACCAGATGCAAATACAGTTTCTAGGAGCTTGGGAAAATCCTAACCAGTGCCTGGCTTTAGGTATTCTAAAGCTAGTAGATCTAGTTAGTATGAAGGTGAAATAAGAGGTGGTTGGGGTAATGAAGGAGAAGCTCTGTGCACACAAGCTTGTTAGAGCATATAAGCATAATCTTCATACATGGAATGCTTTATAGCTTGTGTATTTTATATTCATTTATTATCTCTATATGATCTTAGATGATCTATCAGCAAATTAGACCTCTCTAATAGGACCTTTGTAATGGTTCTTCGCCCGGAGCGGATACCATACAATAGAGAACAATATAACAACAAAAAAGGGTAGAACGCTCCAATTGGTCGTCTCCGCCGTCGGATTGTTTGTCTGGGGCCAGAAGGACCAGAATAACGTTACCACATTATATACGCAAGCAAATATATTATTGATAGTTCCCAATGGTTCGGGAATTCGCCAAGGTCCCCAACCAACTTCTTGATCAGGGTCCTCTGTTTCTCCCGAGTAGGGGCGCATCGTCCCTGTAGTACGGCGCCAAAGAAGAAGACCGCAGGGAATCATGTAGGAAGCAAACAGAGCAGCTACCGATAAGGAGCACAAGGCCTGAAGGGCGACGGCGGATCCAAGCGCAATTAATGATAAGAGCACTGTGACAGCGAAGGTGATAAAAATCGCATTCGTCGGGAGGGTGTTCTTGGTGAGCTAATATACTAAGTCAGCAAACATGAAATCAAATCTAAGGGGCATCTATTAATTAGATACATACCTTCACCAGGTGATTTGAAAATGGAACACCTTTATCCCGAGAAAAAGACCAGAGCATGCGTGCCGTCGAGGCATATATACCAATGCTGCCCGCCACAGTCAAGGCGAAGATGACGCCTGCCATGAGGCAAGCACCTGTAGTCGACTTAACCGCAGAATCAGCGATCTGAGGAGGAGAGGGTAGAACATGGTATCAACAGCTGCCACTGTACACGGTTTACTGTTAGTCATTGTACTTAGGCAATCATAGAGGTATGGAGTGTCCATAGAATTATAATGTGACTCACTTGCTGCATCTAAGTCGCTGATACAAAACACCATAGCGATAGCCATACCCAACGCAAGTGCTCCATTAATAAGAACCGTATACATCAACGCCCGAGGAACTACTAGGGGAGCCGATTGTATCTCTTCGGACATATGAACAGCACAATCAGCTCCCACTATAGCCGTCGCAAGTGTCGGGAACCCAACAAAGAAAGCCATTGTCTGCGTAGGCCAGTTTCCATTGTTGAGGAACGTTGAAAAAACAAAGCTTGGTTCGTTATGAGGTGCAAAATACACCACTTCATCAACTAAGTCAGCAATGACTTCCTCAAAGTTTCATGAGTTTTATAATTCTCTCTAAAGCAGTAACTCTTCATCAGGATCGATTGGAAAGTTTGACTCCTAAGAGAGACTAGATGGCAGGGGAAAGGGAACTTCTCGTTGGTACGTACTTGGAACCAAAACTCCGAAGAAGCCGGTCAGATGGAGAATAAGAATAAAAGCCTCCAACTTTGCCAGTATACGGCTCGTGGTAGAATTCACGAATGTGGTAAAAAGAGCAAAGGCCCATATGAGCAGTACGGTGTGCCATGCCAAAGGTACATATGTTGGGTTAGCTAAGACAATGATGCCTTGTAGAAGAGTCGCGACAAGATAACTGCACATAACAGAAATTGCTTGCCATGCTAATGTTGTAAGCCAGGCAGTCATGTATGATAAGAAGGTTGAGCATGACTTTGGACCTAGCATCGAAACCCAGTGGTACTACGTAGTAAACGGAGTTAGTGGATGATCTGACCGAAGACGCTGTAAAATCTCTTCTTACATTGACCACCAGCAGTCGGTGCTATCGAAGCCAATTCAGCTAACGTCGCATACATGGAAATAACCCCAATCCAATTGACTACAAGCCCCCATATAAGACCTGATGGTCCACTGATTCGGTTAGTATTTGTTGAGCATCTTGACAGCGTTCCATTAGAACTACCACTAAGTAAACTTACCCTATGATAAGACCTGGAACACTTGTCAGGAGAATGCTTTCCCAAGAGCATAATGCTGAACAGGAGAAGCCGAGAATTGACATGAACCCAAAACTTCGAGTCAGCACTGGCCGCTTCCCAAGCCGCCGTAGGACGGCATCGTCATCGTAATTGTCACGCTTGCGAAAGCTTGATGACGATTCGTCATGGAGAAGATTCCCGACGTTAAGCTCAAGCTCGTCTTTGGACATAGCGATTGATATGAGCAAGGATACGCAATACCCTGAATACGGAACGATAATGACTGCGCGAAGAGAAAACCGATTATATCGGGGCCCAAGTGGGACGACAATAGGTCGAACTGAAGATCGACTTCGGTTGTCTAGTTGTGGAGAAAAGAACGTGATGGAGGTGAGACTGAACAGACTGGATAGGACAGAACGCGACCCCCCCTTCGAACACGCTCTATTAGGCCAGCTGAACTTCACCCGGGATTGCCCCCCGAAAAGTGGCTGCTTGGCCCGAGTAGAACAGTGAGTGGAATACCTGGACAGTGAGGCACAGGGCTAGGGGGCGATAAGCGAAAAGCACGCAACCAAACAACGTAAGGGAGTGGCCTGGGTGTGGCCAAACCCTCTGGTGCAAAGACACGGCACAGCATGGCAAGGATGCAACATCACATCCCCGCACTCGGTGTGTTTCTGATCCTCCCAAGAACCCGTTACGTTTATGTAAACAAGACCTACATATGTAGGCGTATTGAGCGAACCAATCGGTCTGCTTGAAACCCTGATAATAAACCGACATTATTAAAGCGTCAAATCTGACTTCAGAAAGCTATCATCGTCATCTGTGTTATCGATATAAGTCCTACTTCGTAATCTTTACTCTACTGTTTCTTACTCACGAAATCTTGCAATCTATTAATAGTTGATCACCGTGTGTCACCATTTAGTCGGCGATCGCGTCTAGTTTATGTAATGATATCTACGGGACGTAATTCGGTTCTGATCCAGTGTTGTTAGCTTACATTCTCAATAACGAAAGCTCTTACGATGATGCTCTATTGGTGGCGTCGATATTAAGATATGGCATTATCCCTGAGTATTTCGTCTTTCACGTTTCCAGCTATGATCGATCTTGTATTGTGGACTAAGGTAAGGAAGTAGATATCCCTATACAATGTCTTAGTGATCTTACTCACGATGCACTTCTTCAGAGGGACAGCAGACAACAGCTTATCATTGACCATATAATTCATAGCAATATCCTAAGTTCCCGGAACCATTCATCGGTTGGTGACGCCTTTGCACCTAAGCCCGCGACCCATCATACTCGTCAGACCATAATCCCAAGTAGTCGATTTCCTAATTCCGTCGCTCGTGTTCCGCATCAACGACTGGTCCGGCGGTAATGATCACATCCGAAGTAAATCCACCGCGGATCTCTTTCTTGCCATCGCGGGCCCCTAAATAGTGTAAGCCCAAAAGCAAAATCTGTGATAGACTGAAGAATAAATACCTAGGGGGCTTGCAGATGCGACGGTGCTGAGTCCCAGAAATGCCGTGATGAAAGCCTTGTAAAGCATTTTGAAGTAGGTGGATGATATATTGGTATGAGCGTAGTTTATTCAGACAGTATTGTATTGTTGTCTATGAAACTAAAAACCCACCTCTCTTGACAGGCTGGCCGACTGTCGGTAATTTATAAGATGAACAGTCTGATATCAGATGAAAGGAGCACCCCCACTAATTGATATACAAGTCAGATGCAACATCGTTAGGACTACGATCACACAAGAGATCAGGATTACGAAATATGATTGGCTTAGTCGCATCTAGCAAAACAAGCACAGTCCTACGTAGGAAATTAAAAATTCAATATCACATCCGCCACTTTACAGGGTATTTTACATTGCCGGCGGCTGTATCGAGCGGTGAATGCCGTAGGACCCTCAAGCGGGGTGTTGAGTTAACTGTCTGAGCCATGGGTCGTGCATATCTGCAATAGGTAGTGGGATGATAATCTTATAGGCGCCCGAATGGTATAGGTTACATTCAAAAGATGATGCACATACATATATGCAAACATGCAGACATGTTGACTAGAACCAGATCTGACGCTTGCGTATCCCAGTGGGTCATAGCGTAACGAAGTCCTGCATATCTATATCCGTCGTACGACCTGTAAAAGTCATAAGGCTGAGTGGGATTCCTCCGTCTTATATTAATCGATGAACTAGGCTCTCTTTCTTACCTAACTTCAAGAGTTTCTCGCGTTCTGCTAGCAATCATCATGGAGAAAGGCTCTACAGAATCTCGAGATCGCCTTCTCGGTGAAACAGAGTACATCGATGCAAAGTTCAGGAACTCTGAAGGGTCTAAGCCATCAATACGTCGATGGATACGCAATAATGCCCTTCTACTTGTGATATTTGTACTTCTGCTATACATCGCCATTGTCCTGACCATTGACTCTGCGGCGAGATTCAGGACGCAAGATCAATGCCTCGGAGCGGATAAACACTTTAGTATGGGTTGTCTTATATTCTAATACGAATTTCTACTAATACTGTATAGGGTTACCTGGGGACGCTGTACGGTATGAAGAGAAGCAAGAATGGTATACCCTTCGGGAACCTTGGAACAAGGAGCCATCAGACGAGCTTGATGATCAATGGGAAGACTTATTATATGGTTGGTATCTCACAAGCCAGTGTCTTATGGATATAACTATACTGAAATTTCCTAGCGTTGAATATCAGGGTTTCCCCTCATGAAATGGAACGACTTGGTTCAAACCTCACGAATCGCATCCAAGTTGACGGTGGGGATTATCTTGGCGTTATGGGTGTATACCATCATCTCCATTGCCTGAATAACCTACGGAGGATAGTTCATTGGGATTATTATGAGTCCCGTGTATCAGATCTGGGTTCTACAGGTCCTTTGGGAAAGGGACACTCAGGTAAGCCAATTGATCCCCGACGTCAAAGGACCATTAAGCTTATATTTATAACCCCACAGATCACTGCATCAACGCAATCCGTCAAGCCTTGATGTGTCACGCAAACACCGAGGTACACACAGGACAATGGATTTATGACCCTGATAGGCCTCAGGCTTCGAAACTAGGATCGCACTCGATAACTACATGCGTGAACTGGGATAGCTTGAATAATTGGGCACGTAGCAGAGCATTGAGATCGGGTGAATACACTTACAGACCTGTACCGATCGATGAAACTATGTCAGATTAGAAGATATAATAACTTATAAGCCTCTTGAAATTTGTCATCTAACATGGATTATCAAGTCATACCCTATTGAAAATATAAGATCCTACCTACGCAATGATTAAGTTCTCAGTTATAATTAGAACACAAGGTAGATATGTTAGTTCTATGATAGTGAATATGCTCTTATGTTACCATTGTAGAGATATTCTTGATGTATTCTCCCCCGCACCTTGAAGCTGCGTCAGCCACGGGCATGTAAGGAGTTCCCAAGTGCTTACGTCTTTTCCAGGCAAGGGTATAATGTAACCGTAGCAGCAAAGAGTAGCACTTGTTGGACGTGCTCAAATGTACGGCAGAATCGGTCCGATCTATTTTGAAGCTTAACCTGTGGACCTTTCATAGCTACGTAGCCAGCTTACAAGAAGCCGCATATCCAAGTTTAATTCTTATTCTTCAACGGTCAGTCCAGTTTTTCTGTTTATGAGCATACCTAAAGTACCTATTGATTGAAATCACACATTTGGTTCCCACCCACTGGTCTAGACCCATCAATATGGCAGACTTACCCGTCTTAGAAAGCAAAGTGGCTTTTGATGCGCCCAATGCGGGAAAGCCATCCACCACCTGGTACAAGGTCGTCGGCGACCTAGACAAATCGTCAACCCCGGCCTTAATTGTACTTCATGGAGGACCCGGTGCGGGACATGAGTACTTGGCTCCTTTTACGGATCTATACAAGCAATACGGCATTCCCATCGTATTCTATGACCAGATCGGGTGCGGGAGGTCCACTCACTTCCAAGAGAAGATAAGGGATGATTCATTCTGGACAGTCGACCTTTTTATTGCCGAGCTTAACAATCTTGTTGACCACTTAGGATTGCGCGAGAAAGGCTTCTTCGTCGCTGGTCAGAGCTGGGGCGGCATGCTGGCAGGATCGTATGCATCCCGGCGTCCTCATGGCCTGAAGAAATTGATAGTCGCCGGCGCCTGCTAGCTTCCCGCTTTTTATGGAATACGGGAAAACGCTGCGCGCCGCATTGCCAGCCGATATCCGTGAGATACTAGAAGCCGGCGATCGAGATGGGAGCTACGAAACCTCAGAATATGAAAGGGCTAGCGCCTGTGAGTAGCATCCGGAATCGCTTATCGGTTATATTTATGCGCGATGATATCTTATATTGATTCGGTAGTCTTTTATTCGCGGCACGTCTGTTCGCTTGATCCCCTCCCAGAACCTGTAAAGCAGGCCTTCGTAAACTTGAAGAATGACCCAACAGCCTACCATACTATGTATGTACCCCACGAATCAACAGTAGCAGACTTATCGGGCACTAACAGGGTAATCTTAGGCAAGGACCTTCTGAGATAGTCATTGATGGCAACCTCAAGGACTGGGAGGGTTGGAAGGATGCCCATAATATTCAGGTCGACACATTGCTTTTGAACGGGAGGTATGACGAGGTGGGGGAGCCATGTGTAGAACCCTGGGGTATGTACAAGAAAACACTAGTCTTTTGCTAACCATTGCTAACTGCCAATAGTGAGTATAATTACCTATTTTCGCGTTGCCTCATTCTGCTAGCCCTTGAATTGGGTTATGAAACATGTCCGTCCACCATTAATGTTACGTTTAAAGGCTAATGAGAATCTTTTCGGGATACTAGTTTAGGGTAATTCCGAGGATCAAGTGGGTAGTATTCGAGAAATCTAGCCATATGGCGCACTGGGAGGAGCGTGAACGATTCATGCAGGTGGTTGGTACGTTTCTTACAGGCTATTAAGGCAACTCGATCATGTTGTCAGACATACCAACAGACATATTCGCATGCACTCTTGCTCCTATGAATGAAACCTGGGGTTATTACTCTGAGAGCTGAAGGTGGGTAAGTGTGCAATACTCTTAGGTGGTACTCAAGGTTAAACAATACAAGGGGTTAGCAAATCATATCATGAGTTACTCAACTCCATACGCAAGCTTCTATTTGATGCATACGTCTTTTAGTCCAACTTTGATGGATAAGTTTAAACCATACTGCGGGCAGATCCGCAAGATTAGGTTAAGACTTGCGAGCTTGTCTGCGCCGCATGACTGCAGCTTATAGGTATGTCATTTATATAATATACTAGAGTCGCGCGATAGCCGACATAACCTATACAATATATCTTATTAAACCTGTGAAATTGACGACTGCTTCCTATGTAGAAAGGACGGCTTGGCAACAGTTTTCGTATGGTCACCTCGTCCCCTTCACTAGTTATCCCCGTGATAACATCATATGGAATAGATATGGCTTAATATGTGGCCACAGCCCCGCATAGTTATATGACGTTGTCGGTATACATAGAAGAAGGAACACTAGTAACGAAAATTTATTCCGTATAAGTGAAGAATAGGGCGAGAGTTCTTGCTCCACCAACGTCACCGAATTCCAATGTTAAGAACCTTATTTATAGGGCTGCATTTAACAAGATATGCAAGGCGGGAACTAGATAAGACCCCAGTTACCAAGTGAATGACGATGATACTTATATTTCATATATTATAATGACCTAATATTAAAAGTATACCAACCTTTAGCCTGTTTGTTGCCTAGGTAAGTAAGCACGTTTTAGTAATTGTACCCCTTTTACACCCTAGTTGTTGCAGATATGTTTCTTCGCTTCTAAAGTCCTCCCTATATTTACCATACTTTCAACTATAGGGTTGAAATTACTATTCAATCTACCTCTCTACCATTTATATTCGTCGGAAACTCAGGATCTTTCAGGGGAATGATGACTGTATGCAGGATTCATACCCCCTAAATGAGGGCAAATTCAAGATAGCTGCACCATTCACAACTTAAATCAATGGATTAGGTATCGACAACTCTCGGAACAACTACGACCTACGTATACCTGTTGCCGTAATTAAACTGATGATAACTCCCAAAACGCCTAGCTAAAACACCCCTATGGTATAATAGCCCCCCAACCCTACATATTTAAGGTATAAATAAAGGATCAAAACGTCGACGTCTGGTGTTCTTCTACGAACTGAAGCCAATCATCAACTTCCTCGACATAATTCTTGCTCATGTAAAAGAACGACCCTTTCTTGACAAGATCCATGTCAAGGCAGGTCTCTATCTTCAATGGTTTAGCGTCAGCCTCCTGCCTACACGTTCTATGCAGATGTTCTTCGAATTGCGGTAGAAACAAGTTTGGCTCGTAACTCCCATTGGAGGACTTTGAGGATTCCACGGACCGTCCTAAGCTGGGACTCTTACGACTCTCGTCTTGTTTCTGTTGAAGCGCCACATGCCTCTGTTCGGCACACACTGCGGCCTTCTCAATAGCAATTCCTCTGCTTGTCCTTGCCATGATTCTGCCGATATATAATTGAGACATGGTATCTTTTCTTGTCCGTCCTTTTTGGGGGGTATGCTCTTGTCTATTCCAGAGACTAGGTTCGTCTTGCCGAACCGTTAGCTTGTGATGCTAAAACGCAGATTCTCAGGGTTCTATATATTTGCAAAGTATGTAATATACAGGGGTCCGAATAATGCAAACTACCCAGGTGATTTTCAACTTATATAGTGTTTGTCCCTAGATTTGAAACAATCCCATTGATAGTCAAAGGCTTGAATGAATGGTATGTCTAGAGTCTTTAACAAAGTCTAACAACGCATTTTATCAAAGGATATGGAAATCAAATAGATATCCCAATAAACGCTATAATCGGTAACAAAGATAGGTTCAAAGGCCCCTCATAATGTCTTGTATAGGTAGCTCATGAAGTCGCTTTGCCAAAATGTGTCATACCATGTGCTTGGTCCATGTCATGATACTGATGCTCACTCTGTTACTTAGCATATCGTAAGAATACACAGCGTATGATGGATATAAAAATAGTTGATTTGTGAAGTGAATCAAGGTCATTATCCATTCACAATTTCCACTACTATAATCAGGCTATTCTCTAAGAAGTGGACATAGATGATAAGTCCGGTTTATACCAACTATCAAGGTGGCCCCTTGTACCCAAAACGCACAATGGTAGACAGACCCAGCGTTTAGTCAAATGTATCCAATATAAAACGCCCCCTTTACCTGCCTAAAGAGAAATTGGTGCTATCAATGTAGCAAAACGTGACACATGAATATAATGACACCTCGTAAATAATAAAACGCCAATCCTGGCCATATATGATGTAGAGCTCGATATCTTGACTCTAGACTGAAGTCAATACCCAGATTAATTAGATCCATATTCATCCCAAGCATGCGGATGTAAGTGGCACCGACTACGCCCACGAAGTTACTAGGTTAAAGTAGCGAGCATGGCTCTCATCAAGCTAGGTGGTGGTCCTGCCGAGGATAAACATGTTAGTTAAGGCTCCTCCACATTAAGATATTACAATGAGACGAGAGCGAGTATAAGCGCACCTTCATCTATCGATACTTAGGCACGCTAATGGACATCCTACCTTTCTTGTCCTTCTCAATGCGAACCCCACGCCGTGGCTCCTCGATCCTCTCGACCTGCTCCTCATAAAGGACGAGTTCACCCGTCGGTAAGCGTTCGGCCGACACCAGTTCTCGATCGGTACTGTGACTATGCGACCGGTGTCGGGAGTGGGAGTGGTGATGGTGCCGTCGTTCCGCTTTCAGCAAGTCGCGCTCCGCCTCTAAACGAGCGATTTCCATCTTGATGTCTTTATTCGATCGCCGCCGGTCACCGACTAAAGCGAGAGGTCCCACGGCGAGTTCTTCGCTATATTCTCGGGGTTCTATGATAACAGGAGTACGAGTCGTAGAAGTAGAATGACTACGGCGACTCCGCGTACTGCGAGTAGGCGAGCTCTCGCGAATATATGTCTGGTTGACAACCTCGATGGGGGGTTGTGTAGCTGGCGCAACAGGTGCCGCAGTATGGATAATTTGTGGTGGAGGAGGGGCATTGCAACTGGCGGTGGCGGAAGAGTAAACATTTCTTCTCTTCTTTCTTCAAAGAAGGCTCCGGAAACAGAGCGAGCGGAAGCAACTTCTCGTTCAGATTTCTTGTAGTCTTCGCTTAGCTTTAGTAGGTCATCGATATTCTGTTGACCGAGAGCTTTTTGCACAACAATGACGTTACCCTAAGGGAGTTAGATCAACGATAAGATGTTAGATATGGTCTCGAACTTACCTCTTCAACATATGGATAACCAAGGTCAATGAGCGCTAGCTTTGAAACAAGTCGTTCAGGAATTCTCGTCTTTCCTTTCTTGGGATACTCGCTCTTAACGCTCTTGACAGTAACGCTAGTGCCTCCAGTACTGCTAGAATCATCTGATGAGACGGATGTGCGTGAGATGCTTCTGCTTCGAACACTACCGCCACGACGCTTATCTCTCGATGCACTGCTATCGCGACGTTTCTTCAATTTAACCACCTCTCTCTCACGGACACGCTCAGGATAAGCATGGTATTCTTCATCGCCATAGCGATCGGGCTCTGAGATCTTGATCTCATCGAATTCTCGTTCGGCATATATTCTCGGCGGAGGCAAAGCTCTCGATCGGGGAAGGGGGGTCGGCTTAAACTGCTCAGGGCGGAAGTCATCGCGACGGGAGCGGGTATCAGATTCCTCCCTGTCAAAAAACTTGGGTAGGGGCCGTCTATCAAATGTATCAAGAGACGACTGTCGCCGGATTAGTTGTCCAGGTCGTCGTGGAGGAGACGGAGGGCGGAACTCTCGTTCACGTTCCCGTTCAGCCCGCTCACGGCCGATAACAAGGCGCCGCTCTAACTCGGGAGGTGGGGAGCGACGAAAACGTGGGCCTTCATCATAATATCTTTTCTCGCGCGAAAAGTCATCCTCCCACGGACGTGACGGTCTTCGCTCGAATCTTTCATCCACGGAGGCCTCACGAACCCGACCTCCTGGGCCGCGATTGTAGTAACGGTCGGTTTCCTCAAAACGCTCTCTTTCGGGACCTTGCCGACTACGGTCACTCTCAACAGCGAAGCGACTCTTGTCCCACCTCTCTCCATACGAGTCGCCGTAAGCGAGATCGTCATCTACCCGCCTATGCGCCATAGTAGAATAATAAAATTAGTAAGAAATTATTGAATCAAATATAAGTATATATCGAAGAATTAATTAATTTGATAGACGAGTATAAAAGGTGCTAGTCGATATCGATGCAAGAATAAAATCGGGCGGAGGTTAGCGTCGTCGTAGTAGATTTCGGACTATGACGACAGCGGGGAAACGACTCCGAAATGTCAACGTATTAATTTGACAGTTCTTATAAGTGCGCGCGGGGCGGCTTTTCGTGGTGATGGATATGATAGTTGCACTACGCCGAGCAACACAAAGTCCAAGTAAACCGTTTTTGTTCTCCTCGGGGTTTTCGCACGTTCCTGCTGCGTGTGACCTCTATGCGACTATATTATGTCGCGGACTGACCGATGAACCTGATCAGCAGCCCAAAGGCGATGTAGTGCCCTCGCGGGTGTAGGTGTGCAACAGTTGTTGAACTTGTGCTTGTGCTTGTAGTGTATCTGTATACAGATACTCCTGGCTCGGTGGGAACACTATTCGTTTTATAATTTATAATATATAGTCGTGACTAAAAAACTTGGCAAAAGTCTTGACAGGAGTGAAAAGGGATGAGAATGACGACAAAAAATTCAATCGTGGAATTGAGTTTAAAGATTTTGGAGGGGCAACCCGGTTCTTAAAAATGATCATTACATCAGTGAACATGTGGTTGATGGCTTAGCCCATCTAGGTATCCATTAGCGCTGCATGAAAATACAAGCCAATACAGCCACTATGTACCTAAGACCCACAGAAGCAATACCGGGAGGGAGCCAAGACCAATCAATGAATCTGAAGCAAGAGGGCGTGACTGCTGGACTATGTTAGTGTAACATTGAAGCTAAAGTTCTATCATAAAAATTCCGTCACCAGAAAAATTTAAGTACTGTACCTAATGTATACTACCTATGTATTCAATATTGATAATCATAAACCATTCAACCAATCCATCATATTATATGATGAGAAGGACAACTTTTTAGGAGCAAATAGCATTAAAGGCTTCGTACTTCCCTTGGCGGTAATTGAAAATTGGGCAGCGCTTGGGTTGTTATATTTGTCCTAATTCAAGACCTTAACAGCCAGTTACCCATGGATCTACTTCTTCGTACAACATATAGCATACAACATTAGGTACAATACCCTATATATACAACAATAAGATTTATCAAAGTTACATTTTACTAATATAACTACCTAAGGCCGGTTAGGTATATCGAGCCCATCCAAGTACCTAGCCAGGTACGTATGTATAGTGAGGATCCACCAATACAATACATGCCGACTTATCCCTGATATCCTTGGTAAATAGGGCCGGACATGGACAAGTTTAACAGCGTCGGAAAAAGATGATGTGTCCCATAAAGCTATTAGTGCTTGTTTTTCGTGGATCTCGACGGGATCTAGAATTTCGTGTTGTGATGGGTGGAGAGGTTCCCAAGCTTCACTTCCAGGATATTAAAGCCAAGATTTTGATGCAGGGTGACGTCGTTCAAAATCTATTGAGCTTCCAATCGCGGACTTGTTCGAATCGGGCTTCTAATCCCGCTCACTTAGCGACAATAGCGATAAACGAATGTGGTCCGTGCTATCCAACCAGACTTTCTATCTTCCTCAACGCGTTGTTGAATGGTTTCCCCTTTTTAAGTCTGCATCGGCATTTCTCAGCTATGCAATTTCTAATTCGTAACAAGGTACGATATAGTCGCCACGCTCAAATCCCCAGACGGCTTAACGAGTCAAGAATCTACTTTTCGCGCTTACGTGCGTATATTCGTACGTTCTCCGGCAACCGTGAAACTTCAAGCGCTGGGTCATGTTTTGTGGACAACCACGCAATTGCTGGTGCCCAACCAACACAACCAAGGCTAGACCTTCAACCTACTTCGCCTAGTCAGGGGTCCTCGAATTAAGAAGAAGCCTTCACTGGACCCTGGATCCGTTTCTGTCAATAAATGCATAATCTATTGATTGGCCGCTAGATACCTTTAGAAAGCTCTGTTACTATTTCTTCAAAGTCAAGTAGAAGTGGTTTGCATGGCCGTGGCCCGTCTATGTTACTATTGTTAATATTATACTATTAATAACAATGGTCATGGCACTCCCTTTCAACCCGAAATCCGTACTTTGAATACAAGAGCTTGGCTATCGAGACTATAGCCGCTCTCGTCAGAATACGGAAGTTTGCCTCCATTCATAAAGCCTTTTTGAGTGATAAAGTCGTTATCGCTTAGACTAAAGACAAAGAATTCTCCATTGGAAACGCTAGGATCGACAGGAACTTTTCCAATGGACTCCCATTTCTCATTCTGCATATTATGATAGGTCAGTCTTAAGTCGCACCTGAGCCTAAGTTTATGAGTACCAGGGGACGACTTACTAGTAAATATTGGTCTTGGTCACCACCATTGTGGATGCCGAATCGGTTTAGCTGCGCATTAACGTTGAAGTCGAGAAAGCTGCAATATTTCGCTACCGTGATCTTCTTCTTAAGCTCCCCACTCTTGGACTTCGCAACGTTACAGTCGGTGCAATCGTATTTTCCAGCTGCCTTGATATCCGTAGCGTCAGAAATGTCGAAGACATCGAGCTGGCGATAGACTGAAAGAGAGTTATCGGTACCGTGGCCAGCGCCAGAGTCTCTAGATAGGATGAAGAATTGACCATTCTCGATGGCGTGTATCTCGGACTGTGCGGCTGCTTTAGGATTTTTAGATTTCTTTGCCGTCGGATCATTATAAAGGGGCAAAGGCACAACCCATTCCCCCGCGTAGACCGGTGCAAGTCGATTCGAAACATCATACTTGAGAAACCTAGTATACCGCATGGTTTGCTTCTCTAAGCCCTAATGTTATAGTCAGCTTTTAAACAGTTCAGTCAAATCTCAGTTTGCTACTAGACATTCTGTCTCGGAGATGTAAAGTTGCCATTGTTCGTTCTGTTATGTCTCGCTATGGTCACAGGTTCTCATGGGTTGGTAGAGTACTTCACTTACACCATCTTGGACAGTTGCGGCCTGTAGAAGTACCCACAATGACTTGCCGTCTTCCGAGACAGTAAGGCCCTCGAAACCTACATTTTGAATATTTAGATCATATGTACCTTATATCACATTTACAGAGCATAGGAGCTTACCATGATTGTTGTCACGACCACTATCAGGATCCGCTGGGTCTACGTCATTTCCTTCGCCATTATCGATATAATATGGCGGACTGTTAGCAGAGAATGAAGTTTCGTCGTTGCGCACCGGTAACGATCGCGTCATTGGGACGAATTGCACTGAGCATCTTGCCGTCGGGTCCAAACAGATCTAATCGTTTATATTAGTCAAACATTTCTTTCGTTCCAAATACGGAGCTAAAACTCACATATATATGGACCATATTCATCAGATACCCAAAAACTGGAGTCATCATTCACATAAAGTCCCTCGGCATCGACAGGGATACGTTTACCACCTGGTCCATCTCCACCAAAGCCGTCGCCCGTATAAGTAGCAACAGGAAGATCAGGAAATCCAGAGAATGATATGTGTCCAGTAGCATCCGCATCTAGCCCGGTGCAAGGCGTCCCATCAGGTCCAGAGAAGAGTATCGTATCCAGATACTCGAAGTATAAGTTTGGACCAGATGGGTTGTCCACGGTTGCATCAGGATTCGGCGTGAAAACAATATTAAACTTATGGACTCGGGGATTGAAGTTAAGTGTCCCTTGAGTGTTCCTAATAGCAATGAGTCAGCGCCTCTAATCCTCAATCCAATAGATGCTAAGGCCTCTTAGATCCGTGGTATCTTGTAATAAGCTCTTGAGTTACGAGCGGGTACTTCCATTTCTAATAACCCAGCTTCAACTAAAGTCACTTTAGGGGGCATTATGGAATAAATTTGAAAATGTTACTCACCAACCACGATCAGGCAACGACCACAAGACGCCCGAGTAACTTCCATTTTCAAGCTTCTTCCAGGCACCCGAATCGAGATGTATAGAGGAGCCAAGTCCGCCAAGCGTGTCACCGAATTTGTCAACCACGTCAGAGACAACGTATCCGTAGCCAGCAAGTTCCTCATACTCGTAGACTATACCATTGCAAGTAGTCTTATTCACGCTTGGTGCTGCGCTATCACTGGCCCGGCATTTTACAGCGGCTCCGATAGCGCTTACAGCTAGGGAGGCTGTAAGTAAGAGTGCGTTCATACTTAAAGCTAAAGCTACCGCTGTGAACAATGACGAGAACCTACAGAAAGACAGGAACAACTTATTACGGGCTAATACTTTATTAAATACTTCCACCTAGGTATACAGTTATTATCTAAGAACTAGCTACCATTTTCGGTCTGGTTATAATCTGCGCTTGCGACACATGCGGCAGGCCGTTGCCGGGAGATCAGCCAGCCATCTCTGCTCAGCACGGTGGCAAGGATAACTTTTCCACAAGTAAATAAGCAATAAAAATGCCGAACTTGGGAGGTGGCAGCGTTGAGCTCTGCGAATTATCCGGTCACCCCGGCGCGGCGCTGGGAGAGTAAGGGAGCACGTTGTTCTCTCCCGAAGTCCTATTCGCCGAAGCCCCAACCGACCTGCCGTGCTGAGATACTAGGCGGCGAATCGGGCGGTAAGGGGGTCCCATGTCACACATTTGACAAGAGAAAATTGTTAATTGTATTCGAAATCGGCGGACAAGCACGTGGGATATTTCTGTATTTGAGGCATAATTGTCCGTTGGTAAGACTGGGTGTGCTCGGTTATAAATGCACTTGAAGATTCTCATCAAATTCTCATTAGAGGATTATATCCGCAACAAACTCCACATTCTCACCATTCAAATCTACGAAATTATGTCGACTATTAACTTCATAATTGCCCGAGCAGACATCGTCGGATTATATTTTATGTAGAGTATAGTACTATACGCTTTTGGTAGTTAAAAGAAAATTGGTGAGAGCTTCACGAAACTATCGGTAAAAATCGGGAAAGGTGTAAAAACCCTTTTGTCTTATTATTAACTCTACATAATGAAATGCCTTGATTCAACTAAAAGACGAGCCTCTAAAGCATGCTCTAGCTACGCTAGTCGAAAGTCCGATGTGACTTACTGGCCGTCGGATTGCCCTCCACGAATTATAAATATGCTAGCTTCAAGTGCTCTATGAAAGATAGGAAGAAACGTCGCAAAGAATACGACCCTAAATAAATCAATTATTTAGGAACTTTCTAGCGCCGTTCCAAGACGCGTTGTACTTCATCAACTACCCGATTATCAATTCTTCTCGAGTTTCACTTCTTAGAGACAGCCATATCTCGATGCTCATGAGAGAGAGGAGAGGTCTTACTGCCACTTATTGAGCGGGATCCGCTAGGGATAATGTATATTAATACTTCATCTGGAGCTACTAAGTATGTTTGCTAGGTACCTAGCTTCATGTTCATGCTATCTTTATAGTGAGTTTTCCTACCGTCTTACTAACTAATCTTTCGGCAACATGTCAAGTAATAGTCACGCATAGGCTATTCCCGCGGCCTACAAGATCAATATAAGTACTAAGCTGAACTTGGGTTACACTATAGGCTCCCGTTGGATTCATCGCACTGGAGCCGAAGGAGTCGAAGCTAGTAGGAAGTCATAAGTCTAATATTTATCCTACTAGTTGCGAATTTGGATTCTGCTGGATATACTATAGGTTTCGTAATCAACTATTTTGATATCATGAATAGGCAGTTAGAAACCAACAAAGGATGAAACGGGAGTGCTGCATTTCGCATCGTAATATAGCTACAATGGAGCCGTTTAGTAATGTGCCCAAAATGGTGATTCGTCGTCTAAAACGGGCTAGTATACATCGGAATTATAGACAGGCCATCCATAACTGCAATATTTATAGTTTCCGGGATGTATTTAGTAAGTGATTGCCCGAATTGAAGGATTTAGTTTCTAAGATATCGGTCAAGAGCAAACCAAGTCCAAGAATGCTGATTTTAGTTTTCTAGGTAGCATAGAACAGTATTGTAATAGAACAACACTACGTAGACAGCCGAGGAGTATGGAGTAACGATGGAGATACTATCTATAATGCAACCTGATCACAAAAATAAAAACGGGGGAGGCAACCTCAATGCGGGGAATAGAGAACCAATAACCCATCATAACTCACAGTTTCGACTCTTTTCATGTATAAATTGAGATTATTGATCATACAAAGACCATTTCGTAGTCGATCTCCTCACTTTACACTCATGGCAACTTGTGAATCGAGGCTGAAGCAATAAGCCATTCCCCACCAGAAAAGGGGATATTCCAACCGATCAATCACACAATAATATCGGTTCTTCTGGTGTGAAACGAACAAGGTTGAGAAGTCGAGTCTATTTTCACGTCCCCCAATTTGTTATACTAGGATTCGTGAGGTCATACGAGGTAAGATAATACATATTCCTTTGCCCCAGACCCCGTATCCCAGACTATGTATGAACCGGGGCTTATAGCTTGGTCTTGGTTTACTTATTAAGTTGTTGATCAACATTAGCTTAAGTCCAATATTGAGTAGTAAGGCAGTACATGTAGTAGCCAGCGTGTAGCTGTCTCTCTAATATATCTTCTAACTACTCAAAAGTCCTTCGCTATAACCGCCACTGAAAGATCCCACCAGTAGAATCAATATAATCATCATGGCTGAAGACAGTTATGGCATGAAAGAAGCCCCCGAGCACGTCTACAATGGCGGATCCGAGCATGTCGAAAACAATGTAGAAATTGACACTAAGATTGACCAGCGCCATGCGGAAATGTACGCGGAAGCCTTGCGGCGATATCCGGACGAAGCTTCTATTGACAAAGACGCCGAGAAGAAACTTAAGCGGAAGTTGGATAGACGTATACTACCTCTACTGGGAATATGCTACTTCTTCTACGTATGGATATTTGCCTGTATTAAGAGACCAGCAGAACTAATCATAATGTCTAGTATGTTGACAAGACCACTCTCTCCTACGCTGCCATTTTTGGCATCCAATCGGACCTTCACTTGAAGGGGACCGAGTACTCATGGCTCTCAAGCATTTTCTACTTCGGCTGGCTTTTCTGGTCTATCCCGTCGAACCTCATCATGCAGCGTTGTCCGCCTGCCTATTACTTGGCATTCAACATCTTCATGTGGGGAGTTCTCTTGATGGCCCAAGCCGCAGCTAAGGATTTTGCTGGCCTCACTGTTTTACGGATCTTGTCCGGTGCTTTCGAAGCTATTGCAGATCCGGCTTTCATGCTTATAACGTCGATGTACTATACCCGTGAAGAACAACCTTCTCGTATCTCGGCGTGGTATGCTTGGAATGGTATTGGGATAGCCGGCGGCGGTCTTATTGGTGAGTGGCAACCTGACAGGTCCGCATGCATGAAGGGAATCTTATTGACTGACATGAATAGGATACGGAATTGGCCAGATCGAAGGCGCACTTCGCTCGTGGCGATACGAGTTTATCGTCGTAGGAGCACTGTGCACTTTCTGGAGTATCGTCTTATTCCTACTCTTGCCAAACTCACCCACCACATTTTGGGGTTTCAGCAAACAAGAACGGTTGCTTATGATAGCTCGTATTCGCGGCAACCAGACCGGAATCGAACATCAGAGAATCAATTGGGGCCAGATCAAGGAAGCTTATCTCGACTACAAGACTTGGCTCTTCGTACTATTTGGATTCCTCGGCGCGATCCCGAACGGAGGCATCTCCAATTTCTCAACTTTAGTTATTCAGGGACTAGGGTTTGATACACTACACACGGCCTTGCTAGGCATACCGCAAGGTGTTCTCGTCGTTATCTGGATCGGTCTCGGGGCCCTTGTTAATAAGTATATGCCGGCTAATAGCCGCACGATTGTTTCTGCTTTGTTCATGTTACCTACCATAGGTGGAAGTTTGGGTTTTTTACTTGCGCCTACTAACGCCTACGTTGGGCGATTGATCTGCTTGTAAGTTTAGGAGTCCACTTAGAGCAATGTCGATTCGGTCAGTACTAACAACTAGTAGCTACCTAACTGGTTCCTACCAAGCATCATTCGTGATTTCTCTATCTCTAGTAACGAGCAACACAGGAGGACAATCCAAGAAGATGATCGTGTCTGGGATGGTATGGTTTGGCTCGTGCATCGGAAACATCGCGGGGCCCTTCTTTTACAAGTCCGAACAAGCGCCATCTTACCATCTCGGCATCGGATCTCTTCTTGTCGCAAACGTTGCCGAATTCGTCCTCTTCTTCGTATTCCGGTACGCTTTCAAGTGGGAAAATAGACGAAAGGAAAAAGTCCGTGCTGCTACGGTGGACTATTAGTCCAACTGTGCCAAAATCAAGAAAATGGGTGGGAGTTGTCCAAAAAGGGTAATTTAATAAGCAACGCTAGGTGCACAGTATCCCGAAATACCTAAGATATAAGATATTTTATTATATTTTACTAATTTTATTAAAATATATCGGATAACTACAACTTATACACTGCAATAACTTCGCAAATATACTATTTCAAGATTTATAATCAGGATCATTTTATAGCTTCAATTAATGCGAAAATAATGATCCTACTTGCATGCTTATAAGATACGTATTGGATAGTTGGCTTGTTGTTGAAATATCTGTGGCCTTTTTAAGATGTTGGTCTTGAAGGGTATCACGTGTTAGTCTTTTTACATAGTACCTATTTGATATTGATATAATACTCCAGCTTAAAGACATATAAAGATGCAACTTGAATCATTATTTTCGCATTAATTGAAGCTATAAAATGATACTAATTATAATTTTTAAAATAGGATATTCGCGAAGTTATTACAGTGTATAAGTTGTATCCTGTATATTTACCTACGTATCTGTATATATTTAAGGTCAAAGTAAAGGTTGAATCTTATTGGTTATTATTGGGGAAAGGGAAAGTAGCCTGCAATGTATTGAATAATGCTTATATTTTTTAATATCTTTACGAATTCAAGGTCGAGTTATATAAAACCTGGGTTGGAATTTTTGTCTTTTTTTAATAAAAATACCAATACCAATTTTAAGTAATTAGAACGTATATTAGTAAAGTTATCCCCATATAAAAGGTATGTATTACCTTATAAATTGTGTATATAGTAGAAATAGCCGAACTTATACTGTAATCTTAATGTTACTATTACCTTATTTGATATAGTGCGACTGACTTTTTTGATTTTGGCACAGTTGGACTAATAGTCCACCGTAGCTGCTTTGCGGGAAACCGGTGTGATCACGGATAACGCAGAGGGGCTGAACGCGACGGCGTTCCAGAATTTGACGGACAAGGAGAACCCGAATTTTGTTTACGTATATTAAAATCCGAACTATTAAATTTGACTCGTCAAAATCGTTAAAATTTGCTTCGTATTATACGTAGGTAGGTACCCTACTGAGTGTTTTCATATGTACCTTAACAGCAGAGTCGACCCATTTCCTCATTCTTGGATGTTATGGTACCGACATTCTCCTGACTTCTTAACAAGGTACCCGTCAAGACAGAGAGCAGTAACCCCAAACGCTCATATGTGTTTACACTCGTGATAAAACGACAATGTGAAGGCCCGAGTGTATCCGACACTAAGCCCCATATCGTATATATTATTCGTAGCTTGTGATCTTCGACGGTAGCTCCGTCTTACGCTGATAGTTGGAACAAGCTAATACGGGACATAAGAATCATCAAAAGTGTAAGTGCGGTGCTTTATGTAGGGGGCGGCCGGATATTAGGCAAAATTTAAAGGGTGTAAGCAAATGATAATGCTACGTAGATGTACCTATCACAACACGATCAGGCCTAATCTATAAACCAGTGGTATGATCTCTAACATAAATGCATTCTACAAATCTTATGTAAGACCTGAGAGTTCCTGTTCGGAAATAGTAAATAATGATGAACTTTAAGCCGCCTGCTACATATCGGTGGAGATGTCGTACATCCCTTGATTGGTAAATACGTCGAATACATCCGTGACTCGGATAACTCTGGTTGACTCAACAGAGTTTATTTCCATACAAATCCAAGCAGCCACTCTCCAATAATTTTCTGATACGCTGCCTCTTTCAACTTCGCATCTTCTAAGCCTTCTTGCCCAAGCCACCGAGGCGGTAGATGATCAAATCCGTGGACTTGATTGGGTATCAGTAACCATCGTACGCTACTCCTCCCTTCGTCCTCGACATGCTCGAACGCGAACCTCTCATCGTCTAAAATAAGCTCCCCCTCTCCTGGTCCTAGCTTCTCCTGGCCTACGATATCCGTTAACGACGGCTCCGGTCGTCCCGCCAGTTTACTCGCCATGGACCACTTGAATATGCGTTAGTAACTTCGTAGTTGCTTCTGGAAAGAAATCTTGGATCCTATTAAATGGTAAGAAAGGAAAGGGCTCTTCAAGACTTACAGTTTCATGTGCGAGTTGATCTAGTTCCGTTCCGATAAAAAAGATATGCGGAGGCAGGGTATTTCGAGGAGCGAAGTATGGCGAGAGCAACGGATCTGCTATATTAGAGCCGGGCTCAATATAGCTCCATAGGAATAATGGAGATAGATTCGCCAGGAAATCAACCGGCGCAGAGCGTATACCCGGGCCGAGGCCGGGCTTGTAGTATCGCGTCTTGACTTTAACTTCCGAGGGAATGGTCTTGTCTACAACGGCGTATATCGGTACAGCGGCCGAGGGCCTAACCTTTTCTCGGATCGAAGGTAGCTGGCATACACTGAGGGTCAAGCTACCACCTGCAGAGAAGCCACCGATCGCTATACGGGTCTTGTCGATCGGAAGGTTGTCATCGTCAAATGATGCTAGGATAAGGGCCTCGAGATCGTAGGTTGCGGTCGGGAAAGGATAAGACGGGGCTTTACGGTAGTTGAGGGCGACTACAAGCACATTGTGCATATTGGCGAAATGCGCATTCCATGCATCATCATCATTTATGCGACCGAGACAGAACCCGCCGCCGTGAATAGTAAATATGGTCGGTAGAGGCGCCTTGGATGTTTCGGGGTCGTAGGACTTGGGGAAAAAGACCCTAAACGCACGAGAAAATACTTCGTTAGAACTAACTAGGAATTATCATGGTCAAGGTAACCGTACCTAATTGGTAAAGATGGTCGACACGGATATGTTTTTACATAGTTCGGAGGGATTTCCGGGGGATAGGCCCAGTCTTGGAACCAGTTTACCGGCGCTCCGAGTATTTGGAGTGCGTAAATGACGGCGCCCCGGTAGACTCGGGAAAAGATTGGAAGATGCGGCTGTTGAAGAACGCGAACGTCCAACTTGCTGGCTTCATTCGCCATGGCTAGTCGGTGTTTTGTTTTTGGATATTTTGCTAGGCACAAGTATATTTCATGTGAAGGTTATGTGTATTAGTGTATTGTACCTAAGGTAAACCTATGCGGTTATCTAACCATTAGGTAGATATCTAGGCATACCGCCTTACGCCAATGGAAGACGCGGCCTTTATAACTCTACCCTGAATGTTGCATGATGGATTTGTTATCCTTGTTGTATTGTACGTGGGTTGAATCGACAAGCGGAATAGCTCCAGCTACCGCCTCTAGGTTAGGTACTTTACGTACCTAGGTACCTTAGGTACCCGAGGTCACCTAGCGTGCTTCGGTTCAAGGTTATGAGTGCTATCGATAAACCCCCCTTCTCAATTACGACAGCAGAATATTGTGAGATGTACCTAAGTACATCTCAACACGTGACCTTCGGTCACGTGTCATCCAAACGCTCATCATAGATGAGTGTTTGTAAAAAAAAAAATAATAATTGTATCATTAGATTTTATTCAATCAATCATCTATTATCCAACAAATATCTTCTAACATTAGGTACTAACGCCTATTTCTACCTGATACAACATTGGCGGCAGCATGTATTAGGTAACCTAACTTGATGTCCAGATGCCAACGTCGCGGCTAAGATTCAAATTCAACTCCGATTCTTAGCGACACGCCGCCTGACCTTTAAAAAAATGGTCAAGATGATTATCTGTTATCTTTCTTTCCTATAACTACCTATGCAATCTGTTAAAATATAACCTAGGTGTTTTATAAAAATTTAACCCGTCGACCCTAACGAACGAATCACTATGCAATTGACCAATCAACTTGTAGTCCAGCCAAAACGGCTCTGTAGTGCGATGCTCGGTGTTGTACTATATTTAATAACCCTCCGCGAACGAGCACTCGGATTCAGACTCAAACACGGAGTCGTCATGTCTATACCCAACTTGGTAAGATTTAAGTTATTTTACTGATTATGTGTAAAGTATGAAATGTACATATTTATGTATCTCTGGGAAATATAAACTCGGGACTGTCCACAAATCGTCTTGTGCGAACAACTTCTATCCGATGCTGTAGCTGATCATATTCTCGACAGGATGTTATTTTCTACTTGTGTAAATTCCAATGATCAATCTCTAGGACCTAGCGTCCTAGGATGTCGGGGTGACTTCGACTTCACTATCAAGTTTGAACAGCTGTTCTTCTCTCTCGCACCCTCTCTTGTCTTTATTCTCTTGTCACCATGGAGAATATATCTACTCATAAAGAGACCTACGATCGTTGATGCTCCATTATTACAACTCGTGAAACTTGTAAGTGCCCTTTCTATAAAATAGTATCTAAGCTATATGATGGAATTTTTATGCCTGTATAAACTCACACATTTATCCGCTTAGTCTGTGCTCGCCTTATATACTCTCCTGGAGCTTTCTTCGGTCGTCCTTGCTAATATGCTCTCACTTGGCGCTAACAATATTGATATTGCTTCTTTCGTGCTTCGTCTTCTTACTGGCTTTTGCATGATTGGACTATCTTACCTTGAGCATGAAAAGTCTCCAAGGCCATCCATCCTTCTTGGTGCATATCTCTTTTGGTCGCTCCTGTTTGATATTACCCAGGTCCGTACGTTTTGGCTGGCTTCCCAGACTAGATCAGAGATGGACTTCTCTGCTGTTTTTACGGCTGTCCTGGGTACGAAAATTGCTATGATATTGCTTGAAGGTCGACGAAAGACCAAATGGGTCATCTGGAATGCTAAAGAGCATAGCCCGGAAGAAACGAGCAGCATATTCGACCTCGGTGTTTACTCTTGGCTCAACTGGCTATTTTTCGAAGGTTATCGCAAGGTTTTAGGTATAAAAGACTTATATCCACTCGACCAGAACATGGCTGCCAGCCGTCTCTCAAAAATCTTTTCTCGGAAAATAGACGATGCAAGACTTAAGAATCATAAGCCTAATATTTTAAAGGTACTAGCCCGGACGCTTTTGGTACCTCTCATACTCCCAATTCCTGCGAGGCTTGCCAGGATCGGATTCACTTTCTGCCAACCCTTATTTATAAGCAGCCTTACAACACGACTGTCTCAATCAGAATCGGAATTGCCAGCCAATATTGGGTACGGCTTTATTGGTGCTAGCATTTGTATCTATTTCTCCATTGCAATTTCGACAGCGTTGTACTGGTATGCTCACCATCGGATGCTCTATATGGCACGGGCCTGTCTCGTTACGGCCGTTTACGCAAAAGCTACAGAGGCTCGTGAAGACGAGAATGCTTCCATAACATTAATGAGTACGGATGTAGAACGCACCATGCGTGGGTTTAAGTCCTTACACGAAATTGTATGTGGGTGTTTCAATTGCCCGCTTTCACCCCCTTTTCTACTTACCAAGCTCTCCCCTCTATTTATGTTTATGCCCCCGGCTAACCCCACGACGTTTATTGATAGTTGTCAAATTTCTTCTTTAGAATAAGAGTTAACACTGCTAATTAATCATTGTAGTGGTCAAATTTAATTGAAGTTGGACTCTCGAGTGCGTTATTGTACAGGTTACTTGGCGCTGCATTTGCGGCCCCTATAATTATAGTCTTGGTATGTGCATGTGGAGTTGGTGCCATCACACGTTTTACGGGTAAAGGGCAAAGAACGTGGGCGGCCGGTATTCAAAAACGTGTCGGGCTCACCTCTAGGGTTATTGCAACGATGAAAAATATCAAACTCTCTGGTCTCGCTCATCCGATCGCCCGTGTTGTCGAGAAGCTTCGAGTTGATGAATTAAAAGCAGGTCAGAACTTTCGATCATTGTTACTCGTAGCGGGAGTCTTCGCCTATATCCCTTTACTCGTCTCTCCAGCCGTAACTTTTGCAGTGGCCCGAAGAAGCCTAGACGCCGCGAGGTTATTTACTTCTGTATCTTACCTTCTACTAATGACATCTCCTCTTAGCAATTTATTTCAAAGTTTACCTCAGTTTGTTGGAGCGCTAGCCTGCCTCACCCGTATACAGGAATTTCTGGAGAGAGAGTCACGAGATGATTTTCGTATCGCGTTTATAGAATCGGAAGATTCGACCGAAAAGCCTTCCGTGGACGAGTCTTCAGCTTTGCTGGCTATTGCTATAAAGAATGGTAGTTTTGGTTGGAACCAAATAAGATGGTTCTTAATAATATCGATATCGAGATCCCTAAGGGCTGCCTCACAATGATCGTTGGCCCTGTTGCATCGGGAAAATCATCTTTATGCAAAGCCCTTCTAGGAGAAATACCATACCATCGAGGGACAGTCACGACAACTAGCAACATTCAACGCGTTGGGTATTGTAGCCAAACACCGTTTCTTTCGAATGGCAGCATAAGGGAGAATATTATTGGATATTCGCCCTTCGAACCTGAGCGATATGCTGAGGTCATTGACGGAGCAATGCTCGGCGTTGATTTCGAGACGCTGTCTCTAAAGGATATGACGAATGTTGGTAGTAATGGCATAACTCTCTCTGGAGGCCAGAAGCAACGTGTGTCGCTAGCGAGGTGCCTTTACCTGCAATCTGAACTCCTAATTATGGATGATGTGTTCAGCGGTTTAGATGCAGACACTGAAGATCTGGTATTTCAGCGTGTGTTTGGGGAGAATGGGATCCTCAAAAGACGCCAAACAACCGTTGTACTCTGTACTCACTCCGTCCGTCATCTCCCAAATGCCGCGCATATTATTGCTTTAGCTCCAGACGGGTCTATCACTGAGCAAGGCACATTCGACGATCTTATGGTTAATCGAAGCTATATTCATAGTCTTGGTGTCAAGTCCTCGTCTTCAAGCAAGATAGCCAGTGGCAAAGTCGAATCCGAACCCGATCCCCCTATACCTCCGCATAGTCCATCGGAAAAGATACCTACACTACTTCCCATGCTGAAAATAAGTGATAAGGCGCGGCTAATGGGTGACAAAACAGCTTATATGGTATACCTAAAAAGCATGGGGATGATACTTGGTACTTGTCTTCTAGTTTTGGGTATGCTCTTTAGCTTCTTTTGCAATTTTCCAACAGTATGGTTGAAGTATTGGTCGGATGATGCTACGGTTACAAATCCGTCACACTCTTTTAGTTACTACGTAGGGATTTATGCTTTGCTTCAGACGAGCGCCTTGATGTCGTTGGTATTCCTTGCAATCTTAATCTACATTATAGTTATCAATCGGTCAGGGAAGTCTCTTCATGACGATGCTCTGCGGACACTTACGCATGCACCGCTAAGTTTCTTGACAACAACCGACCAAGGAATCATCACGAATCTGTTTTCTCAAGACCTAAACCTTATCGACAACGAGCTGCCTCATGCCCTCCTTAATGTGATAAATGCTGTCCTTGTCGCCATTGGCCAGGCAGCCGTTATCGCTATTTCGTCGCCGTTCCTAGCAATCAGTTACCCGTGTCTAATAGCTGTACTATACGGAATTCAAAAGTTCTATCTTCGAACGTCAAGACAGCTAAGATTACTAGACTTAGAAGCGAAAAGCCCACTCTAGTAAGTAATGCCCTCTAAACTATTGTTAAATCTCATGGTGGTTTGGTTTCTATCTTCAACCAGACTATTTTGAATGATTGTACCGAAATATGGTAGATTTTATTAATACATGTAGCACTCATTTTCTTGATACGTCAAATGGCGTTGTCACCCTTCGAGCCTTCGGTTTTCTTGCCAATGACCGTGCAAAGAATGCCTACCTCCTGGATACATCCCAGCGACCTGCATACCTCCTAACTATGATTCAACAGTTAGTTCTCCCTCTCATCCCAAATTTTCCCGCCACAACCTAGCCAACTACTGTCTCGGGGTTTCATGAATTCACATATTCACTTGACCTTATGCTCTTAGTCTACTTTGATCACTAATGTAATCTTATAGGTGGCTTGGTTTAGTGCTAAATTTTGTCGTTGCTATAATTGCTGTTATTCTTACGGCCCTTGCTACAAGCCTACACTCTAACTCCGGCTTCACCGGCGCGTCTTTAGTGACCTTGATGGGATTCGGAGAAACACTCACAAACGTCGTTACGTACTATACATTGCTTGAAACGTCGCTTGGTGCTATCACTCGGCTAAAGTCTTTCGAGAAGGACGCTGGATTGGAGGACAAGGATGAGGAGGATATTGTCCCGCCTGAGGAGTGGCCACAGTACGGGGAAATTTCTCTAAAAGGTGTCTCAGCCAGTTACAGGTACTGATTCCATCTTCTATTATTGAATCAAACAAGAGCTTACATTCTCTAGCGCTGAAAGTGCAGCTGAAGTACCAAGCATGGCACTCAAGAATATTAAACTCGAAATTTCTCCCAGGGAAAAAGTTGCAGTATGTGGCCGGACAGGAAGTGGCAAGTCATCCCTCGTTGCCCTTCTGATGAAGCTTCTTGACCCGGTCAACGATACACCCGATCGCGTATCTATAGATAATACACCTCTCCACCGCGTAGATCGAGCCACTCTCCGACAACGTATTATTGCCATCCCCCAGGATATTGTATTCCTCCCGGATGGATCTACTTTCCAGGAAAATCTGGACCCTTTAGCTGTTTCAACAGTTGCAGATTATCGGGCCGTCCTCGAAGCAGTAGGCCTATGGACATTCGTGTGCGATCGAGGTGGACTTAAGGCAGGGCTGACAGCCAGCACGTTGAGTCAAGGACAGCGACAACTCTTCTCCCTTTGTCGGGCAATCCTTCGCAGACGTGTCCGAGCACGTAGTCTTGGGCTTGGTGGTGGAGGTACTGAGGGTGGTGTTTTACTACTTGATGAAGTAAGCTCGAGCGTCGACCGGGAGACCGAGAAGGTAATGCAAAAGGTGATCAGCGTCGAGTTCAAGGAGTACACGGTTATAGCTGTAAGTCACCACTTGGACATGATCATGGATTATGATCGTGTTGTCGTTATGGATAAGGGTGAGATTGTCGAGGTGGGCAACCCGGCCCAGTTGGTGAAGCAGGCGGGGACCAGATTCGGCGAGCTGTGGAATGTCGGAGGAAACTAATCCAACGGTGATTACGCAAATCAGTGCAGTAATTGTAGTAGATACTATGATAATTACATTTACCTATGTACAAGTGTTTGCAGTTTTCATACTTGTTATTATTATAACATAAATAGAACTAGTATGGGGAAAACCTCATCAAACGTAATGTGTGTAATATTAAAGCAGGTGGGTACTGGAATAAGGCATAATACTAGAAGTTCTTCTTCATGTCCCCAGCAAGCTAGAGATTATGATGAAAAACATGAGTACCCGTATTTATGACCTTGGAGGCAGTGTAATACCAAGGTCAAGGGCCACGGGCAGCCCAGAGAGCAAAAGTAGAAGTGCAATCCATAAAATCAGGTACAGTCAGACATCACTAGATGAGACCACAAGGAAAGACGCTGGGCTAAGAATAACAAGTATTCGTCGCATTGGCATATCCGAACCAACCAACGCTTCCTCGCCCTCAAAAACAAGTATCAAGAACGGGAGGATAGCCAACGATGCATGAGAATTTCTTTGCTACTATAGATCAGAGGTCTAACCCGGAGGCGATGTAAAACTGACGGAAGACCAAACCCCCCCAGATCCGACGACGAGATTTTACTAGACATGAGTAGCGCAGTGGAGTCCCCTGACCAACCGAACCGGGCGCCTGCACAGTGGGCTGGCCGACTCGAGGGGGCGAGATGATCCGAACCTGACGCGCATCGGTGTCACTATGAACGTCGGGAGGCACAAAATCGAAGGAATGCAACCAACGATGTGCTGCCCAAGGGAATGCAACCCTTCGTGCAGGGAATGAGGCACCCTGCAAGGACGAGTGAGATGCAAAGATTGGCCCCTAAAAGCCACGGCAAGGCGCTGACAATCTCAAGAGGGACTCGAATCCGAAATGATCCCGAAGGCGAATCTTTCGAAACACCAGATAGACCCGGGCGAAGGTTATTCTTCTAGTTCATATGTCTGGACTGATTTTTTTGGATGATGAGGAAAAAAAAGGAAGAAGGAAAAGGTAAGTTTGTGGGGAGAGACCCTTGTTTATATACATGTGGGGGAGGAGCGGGAAGATCACCCAGAGCGACGGTACACTTGGCCTGATTTGGGTGGGGCTGCTACCTGAAAATTTCCGATTGGCTTACCCCAGATTTTCCCCTTGATCCACTTCGATTAATTGAGTAAAGTCGAATCAGCCCTTCTCATTGGCCCACTATTTCTTTTTCAATCTCAAGATGATTTTAGAAATACGAAATACATCGTCGAATTGATGGGTACATCGGGTAAGTACATGCATTTATGTTCTCTGAATCAACAACACAATTTACTATAGATAAGATGCGCATTATTTTATGTACGAGGTACTTAGGTACCAAATTATTCTACACCAAACGCGAGATTTTCTTATTGGAAACTAGTACAAATTGTAATCCACAACAACCTGTGATTACCTGTTATGCCTAGGTCCACGTATAGGTATAAACGCTCGTTGAGTTTTAGCAGTTATATTTTGGTCTTCGTAATTATATGAAACGTTCACACGCGGCCCTCAAGTCCCTCTTATGTACTTAGGCGCCTGGAGATATCACAAGGATATTTACACACCACCTTCACTAAACGAGAGTAACAATAACAAGGGCCATATAATTATATATATCAGCTCTGGGTGCTCTAAACGTATATAGGTAGCAATATCTTGACCTTCTCCAGCTCCCTCACAGAAAGAAGAATATCGTGTCTTCCCTTCATCCCGCCCTTTCCGCTACACACCCAGCCAAATCCTCAATTGCAGTCCTGCCCAATATCTCAAATACAGCAACTTTTACACCGAAATCGCGCCATATCCAGTTTCGTAACTCTACAGCCATAAGAGAATCGACACCATAATCCGACGGGTTTTGACGCGGGTCGATATCTTCGACTTGCACACCTAACGCGTGTGCGAGTTTCTTCTTTAAGGTCTTCACTACAACCATGGTACGATCTTTAGGGCTGCTTGCTTCTCTAAATAATGTAGCAGCATCCTCCTGCTTTGACAACGTGTCTTTAGATCCGATGCTAGTGTGTTGACGTATGACATCAAATCCGGCGAATAACGGCCGCCTGGCCCAATCAACCGGCTCTCGACCGCGAGAATAGTAGTCCTGTGGTGTTAAACTGCCAACAAGAAGTTGGCTCTGGGATGGACTCCAAGACCGCGACAAGGTCGGATCGCAGTAGTGGTCGAGCAAAGCCAGCAGGTCCGCACCATAGACGGCGGCCATATCACGAATCTCCTGTCGGTTGCGGTGATATTGGCTGTGTTCAGCAATAATTCCAATATCATACATCCAGCCCAGATCGAGAGTGGTAGATACGCCACCAAATCCATCAATCGTACGTGCCTTCGTCAGGGCATCTTGGTATGAACAGCCAGCGGCATAGTTGCACTGTGCTGGAGATCCGTATATACCCGCGAGCGACGACAGAAGAATAAAGAAATCTAAGTTTCGCGGCAATAGCTGATGAAGGTTCCAGCTCGATTGAACTTTGGAATGGATTGTAAGAGACCATTGTGCATATGTCATGTTTTCAAAGATTGCGTCCTGTTTGAGGTGTCAGCTAGCTTTTTAAATACTAATAGTGGGAGGATATTCTAACCTGGAGAACCATCGCAGAGTTGATGCAACCTTTGATTGGAGGCATATGAGCACAGTCTCGCAAGACTGCTGCAAGTTCTTTGGCTGATGATACGTCACATCGCGGAGTAACGACATTGATGCCCTTACTCGTGAGCTGCGCAACTACCTCCGATGCAGCTTGTGAGGAGACCCCTGACCGTGAAGGAATAATGAGGTTTCTAGCGCCCCTTTCAACCATCCATCGAACGATGGTACGCCCTAGGCCACCAAGACCACCGGCCACGATGTATGTTGCGTCAGTTTCAAACCGCCATGTGGTCTTTTTTACGAGGTGTTTCTATTATCGTGTTAGCGTAGTTTCGCTAATTTTTCAAGTATCCTATTAACCTACCAAAACCACGTCTTCGCAGCCAAGGTTGATGATGATGCGCCCTGTATTCTTTCCGCTTTGCATGTACCGAAAAGCCCTTTCAACTTCAGAAGCTGCATATACATGCAAAGGCGATGGGAGGCTGAGTTTCCCGTCAATGATTAGGCTTAGAAGCCGTTCAACCAGCTGGCGCATGAGTTTTCTATTTGACAAGGCGATGTGGTGTAAATCGACAGCTGCAAAGCTAACATTTTTGGCAAAACCTGCCATCGGCAGTGATGCATTCGCCTTTATGTCGGCTTTTCCAATCTCGATGAAACGGCCGTATGGTGCGATACACTCCCAGGTCGCTCGCAATGCATCCCCCGAAAGTGAATTCAGAACGACATCAACGCCATAACCCCCTGTGATGCGCATGATACCCTTCGCAAATAGGGTGTTGCGGCTGTTGAAAACGTGTGATGCTGGGATATTGAGTCCTTCAGGGTTTGTGATAAGCTCCTTCTTTTCGTCAGAGCCGACGGTTGCAAAGACCTCAGCACCAACCATCTGCGCTATCTTAACAGCCATCTGCCCGGTACTTCCGGCAGCGGAGTGGATCAATACCTTCTCTCCAGGTTGTAGACGGGCCACATTCACCAGAGCATGGTAGGCAGTCGTACCGGGATTCATAGCAGCGACAGCGTCGTGGAAAGATAGACTGTCTGGGATCTTAAAGATACCAATCATGGGGTGCTCGAGGATGACTCCTCATGCAGCCAGGTGAAATAACATCACAACGCGATCGCCAGGACATAAATGGGCTGGAGAGCTGGCGCCAACCCTTGAAATCGTGCCTGCACACTCAAATCCGAGTCCTTCATTGTCAAGGCGACCCAAAGCAATGAACACATCTCGAAAACTGACCGGCCACGTAGCTGCTTTTATTTCGATCTCGTCTGGACCCAGGTCACTAGTTGAGTCTTCAACGAATCTCAGCGTATCTAACATTCCTGGCTTCGCGACTTCAAGGGTTATAGGCGGACCTACTCCCCAAGGTGAAGATGACGCTTTTGGTCGTAGGCGAGATATCCTCTCCTCGTCAAGTCTACTCTCTTGTTCCAAACGCCCAATTGTGAGCTGCCCATGACGAACAATGAACTCAAGATCCGTGCAGGCAGGTTTATCTCCAAAACAAGAACGAAGAACGTTTTCTATAAAATCAACTTCGCTCCCGGGTGTCCAAGATTCGAAAGTGAGGTTGGCAATGCATTTGTGGCTCTGCTCGGAGCGGATTGCTCTCCAAAATCCAGTCGCCAGGGCAAATTGTGAGTCATTCACAGTATTGCCAGTACATGTCGGCAAGGAAATCCAAAGTATATTCTGGAACCTAGCCACAAGTGATTGTAGGAAGTTAAAATCTGCTTCGGTAACCTGCGCAAAAAAAGCAACGCCCACCGAGGAGCGAGACAACAACGATGGGCTCGGAGTCCGTATGTTCATACTTATCTATCTGTGCCATATCAAGAACCTCAGTGTTGGCACGGTCCTTTGCGATTTTTGCCGCTAGAGCGCGTTGAATTTCCGATTCAGGATTGATGACAATTATTTCTCGTTGAAGATGGTTAACGTCCCCGTTAGCCATCTCGAGAGCTGTTGAGATCATAATACTGTTGATATGGGCGGTATCATCTTGAGCATCTCTAAAGGAAACATCTATACCTGTGAACCCCGTATTGCTCAACAACACGTCCCATACCTGTTCTGTGACGAGGGGGCTGTGTCGGCGCCATTCTTCGGATGCAGACCACCATCCTTCCAGTACACCAAAGCCGACATTGGCGAGCGCGCTGCTAGGCTTTACATGTTCCAAGAGGGCTAGGTGCCCCCCAGGCTTTAGTAGCTTGTGTACTTTCTTTAAAGTAGCCGTGAGGTCCGAACAGACGTGTAATACGCCTCCAGCAACAACTAAATCGTAGCTCTGGCTATTGAAACCCTGTTTAGATAAATCCACCTCCAAGTCCAGTGTCTTAAAGATGATCCTATTCTGGAATTTCCCAAAGCGTTCCCTAGCACCTTCGAAGAAAGATGGCGAAACATCAGTGTAGACATATTCTAGGAATCGGGACTGGCCGGTTTCCTCCTCGAAGTCATGCAAACTGCTAAGAAATAGCTCTGTTACAGATCCAGTTCCTGCACCGACCTCAAGAATTCGTAATCCGGGGCTTTCGTGTGATAATAATCCAAGGAATGTTTTGAGCCGGCCAGTATCAATATGGCGACCGAAAGTATAAGCGTAAAAGGACTCAGCGGCTTTGGTGTTGAACAACAGCTCCAGGGGGTCAGTTCTGCTTCTTATAATAGAAGGCAAATTCCGTTGCACCGCCGGGAACATGCGCAGTTCCGGCGCTTCTGATTCGCATTCCTGGAGTAGACTTTTCAAACTCCGGGTCATCAGGATCAGCCGGTTCACCTTCTCGCCATCCATATTGATGTTCCATGGAAGCCATTAATTTCCTCATATAGCGTGGTGCTTGGTCGAGGTCTTCGTTTGATATCTCTTTAACCGCCTTGCGTGCTGCAATTTTCATAATCATCTCTACTTTTGTGATGTGTGCTATGGTGGTGCTCTCATCCGCAACTAATGCGCCAGTATCACACAACTGCTGTAACTCGGCAGCACTTAGTGAACTTAGTTGTGGCTTCCACGAGATGCTATGCAACAATGTGCTAGCCTGCATATCTTCTTCTAACTTGTTAAGACTGGAGACTTCTGCCACGGTCTGGCTCTTGACCGTGCATAACAACGAGCCATCGTCCGAAATTCCGTAGAGATTGGATAGTCGATCGTTGTCTTTCTGAGAAACTGAAATAATGCTTACTGTCGACGTTATCTGATTCCATGCCTTCGAAGATATCCACATGTCTGAAATATGATGCGGAATAACAGTAGCAATATCCTTTGTGATGCCCTTGGAATATTGGGCAAGAAAGAGATGTAGAACTGCGTCTAAAGTCGCAGGATGTACAGGTATTTCCGCTACTTCCTGGGATACCTCTGGCGCTGTGAGGTCAATTCGTGCAAAGGAGGTGGTCTTATTGTCCCATCTGATATCTCGTAGTAATTGGAACGACTGGCCATATTCGTAACCGTATTCCTCGCAATATTCGTAAAACGAACGTGAGTCGATAGACTTCGTGCAAGATATCGCTGCTGATTTGATGAGATCGTGGATATGTTCTCTTTCCCATTTCGCCTCGTCGACTACGTTGACTTGGGTCACATTGCACTCCTGGTATTCTGTTCGAACCTCAGCCCGGAAACATTCCGTCCAGCTCCCATTCTTTTCCGAGAATATACGAATTTCCGACCTGGTGGACTCTTTTTCGCTTACATTTCGAATCGGGCGTAGTTCAACCACCGTCTCGACAGCGTCTTGTGGTGTTTCGCCTACCATGATCGGGGCTATGAATTCTACGTCTTTGAAGTGTATACCAGATAGTGGTTGATTCTTTGTATTGACGAACTGGGTTATAGCCTCGGTAGCCATTATCAGCATACATGTAGCCGGGCAAAGAGTTGTGCCGCTGATCTTTTCGTAGGGTCATGTTAGTCCAAACCAATCTTCCCAAGTGTTAAAAGAAATTGACAAGAATGTTGCATAAATGAACGAGAGAAAGTGTCTCAAAACTCACCACATGATGGCCCAGCCAGGGAAACGTTTCTTTACAAAGCCAATTCCTCCACCTAGGTTGAAGTGGATTCCAATCATGAGCACGTCTCCCAAGAAGATAACTAGGAGCGCGTGATCTCAACCTATAGTCTTTGCTGAGGCGAGATTCTTGCCAATACACTCGACTATGATCGAATGGATATGATGGACAGTCGACTAGATAAGGCAAAGATCTATTATCTTGGCCGTTACCTGCAAGTATAGATACCGGATACCCTTCACAAAATAGCGTGCCTAAAAGCTCGAGCATAGATATTTCGGATTCTTTATTTCGTTCCAGTGTGGGATGATAATGCAGTGAAGGGATATTGTCTTTCAACGGTCTCCTGAGCGCTGGATGTGGGCCGATTTCGATCAGGTCAGTGATCGCACCGGGATACTCGGCGATGGGCCGTAATGCGTCAACAAATCTCACCGGTAATAGTAGGTTGTCAACCCAATACTGGGCCATGGCTAATTGCTTCGGGACAGCAAACTTCCCAGTAACCGAGCTAACCATCGGTATGTGCTGCAGACTGCTGGAACCCAGCTCCAAAGATCCCATTAACTGAAGATAATCTGCTGCGATCTCACGCATTGCTGGTGAGTGGTATGCGATGCCTGTGTTAACCTTCTGGGTGAAGATTCCATCTCGATCAAGTCGTTCTTTGAGTGTATCGATGATGTCGGAGGGTGCTGAAAGTGTAACATTCGTAGGGCTGTTCACACACGCTACGTGCACCACCCCATTTTCAATTGCCAGTTGCTGGAGATATATGGGAACTTGGACTTCAGATAGATTCACTGACATCATAGCTCCTGGTCTTGCGCTTGATGATCTGCGAAGTCTCTCCGCAAGCTGTCCGCGATAGTAAGCCACCTTGCAGGCGGACTTTTGTGATAGAGCACCAATTGCGTACGCGGCCGCGATCTCACCACTTGAATGTCCAACAACAGCAGTAGGAACTACTCCAAAAGCCCGGAGTAGATCAACGAGAGCAATTTGCAGTACTGTACATAGAGGTTGGCTAAACTCTGGTGAGTTAATTGTCTCAGAGTTGTAAAGCTCATCTATGGCACTGCTAGTTAGAGATATACCTAGAACGGCCCTTAGAGATGAAAAGCACCTACCAAATATAGTCCATTTGCAACCTAGGCTAGCAAGTGCGTAATCGGATCTCCGAAGACTCTCTTCGAACGTCGGGTATTGCAGCAACCCACGCCCCATTCCACAGTACCCAGCTCCCTGGCCAGTAAAGACGAAGGCGATGCCCAGCTTTGCAGAGGACACACGAACCGGTTTCGACATGCGAAGAGGTGGGTGAGCATCGTCTCCAACTTCTCCTTTTACGAAGTTAAACTCGCGCGAAGGGTCCACAACGGCAAACGCGCGCCATGGCATCATACTTCGTCGTGCTGCTAGTGTGTATACTAGCAGATCAAGACTTCGCCGATGAGTAGAAGTAAAAGTATGATAGTAGCTCTGATATGCGTTGATCATGCGCTGTAAAGCTGCAGAGTCCATGGCGCTGAGAACGAAAAGCTTTGGCCGTTGCGAATTGCCGTTAGCATAGTAGTTGCTTATGCTGAATGATATTCCGTTAGGCTGTGCTGGAATATCAACGGTGTGATGAAAGCCTTCGAGGTTATGCATTCGCAGGTAGTGGAGGGCATCGTCAAGGATGACGTGGGAGTTAGTGCCTCCGAATCCGAATGTATTGACGGAGGCCCGACGAAGACCCTGGGTTGGCCAAGGAATGCACTGAGTGGGAACCTATTTTACACGTTAGCAACAACGTATCTAGAATTTAATAATGCAATCGATGGGAGAGGACGGATGAAAATATCAAAGGATCAAAAGTCAGATTATTGATAATGAGGTAACAGGATACTAGTGGTACCTTAACATTCAAAGAGTCGGCATCGATGCTGGGATTGAGCTTTTCAAAAAGAGCATTCGGTGGGATAATCCCCTTTTCGAGAGCTAATATGGACTTGACAACTCCTGCTAAACCACTCGCTGCTTCAAGATGGCCGACATTGGCCTTAACCGAACCGCTAGCAAAGAATATCAGGTAAGCTATCGAGAATCTATCCGTTTTTAATCATCACTTACACGTAAAGAGGGGCTTCGGTAGAACGAGATATGCGGAACGTCTGCCCAATAGCTTTCATCTCGATTGGATCCCCTATTGGGGTTCCGGTACCTGAATGCTAATTAGGACAAACATAAGGACATGAGATCAACAAATTTTCACTCACCATGGGCCTCAAAATATCTTGTCTCATCAAACCCAATGCCCGCCTTTGCATAAGCGTGGCGTATAAGCGTTTCTTGCGCCTCACTGCTTGGCTGTGTGAGGACTAGCGATCTACCGTCCTGGTTTGACGCCGTCGAGCGTATTACAGCCCGTATAACGTCCCCATGATTGATGGCGTCTCTGAGAGGCTTGACAACGATAGCTACAACGCCCTCGCCACGTGCAAACCCGTTTGCCCGTGAATCAAAGCTGTAACAGCGGCCATCCGGAGACAGAAAGTTCAAGCTGGACATGGAAATAGAAGACTCTGGGTCAAGGAACACGCTTGTACCGAATATGATGGCCTGCTCTGCGGAAATCATACGTTAGAGGTTTAAGTAGCTAAATATCAACAGGTAACAGACCATAGTTGCATTTCCGCTTTGCATTGCTTGGCATGCCATATCAAGGGCCACCAAGCTGCTAGAACATGCCGAGTCAACGTGGACACTTGGCCCACGCAAATCGAAGTGCCAGCTGATTCCTAGTTGAGCTTTATTAGCATAGCATTCAACCTAGTATAACCCTTCTCCCGCGAAAAGAATAATTATTGAGTTACTTGAAACGATGAGCTTACGGTTTGGCAGTATAGACGGAGCAACGCCTGTGGCGGTTTGGCGCGGAGAGAGATCAGGATCTTTCGATATAATTGCCCTGTAGTCGTTGGAGAAGGATGCCGCATACACCGCAGTGCGGCTGCCTCGGATACTCTCGACGGGAATTCCAGCTTTCCGTCGAGCCAAGTTAGTATAATCTACCTAGACATGGCTACCAAGTTTTTCTAAGGAACTCTTACCGTTTTCCAAGGCATGATATACAGTCTCCAGGGCCCAACGCTGTTGCGGGTCTATCGACTCAGCTTCTCTAGCAGGGATGCAGAAGAAGGGTGCGTCGAAGACTCTTGGGTCTTCTTTCACAAAATGAGCGCCCCGTGCATGTATCTGGGAATATCATGTTAGCCACTCAGTAGTAAACAGTAGATAGGTAAATAGAATACCATGTTTGGCTTCTTAGTCGAGCCCCCATCGTGATGGGCGTCTAAATTTATACGGTTTTCCGGCCAATCGGTCATCAAATTCTTCCGGTTCACGATGACATCCCATAGACTACGCTCATCAACAACTTCTTGGGCCATCTTGAAGGACAGCCCAACAATGGCGAATGGCTCTATGTGAGCAGTCATCCTCACTGTCAAACTTCTGGCTTCGAAGGCAACAGGGTATTGATTCGGCGGCTCTGGTATGTATGCTTGGTCAAGTCACTAGTCTCTAAGTTTATAGATAGACGAAAAGATTTGTATGAAATATCTTGTTTATATTTATTCTCCTTTGGTAGGTCTAGTATATTTATACCCAGATATATATAGATAATTATTTACTTGAGATCCGTCGAAATTAACTGTCACCCTCCATCATCATTGTCCTAACAATAGCTACCTCCTTTCTCATATTCGGTTTCATTGGTCAATTTATGTCGATACTTGTATCCAAATCTGTTTCAAAGGCTACGGGACACAAGGATGAAGGACGGCTCTGCCTTACAAACTATATCCATAGATCTATAGGGGGATACTAATGGGGTATGCAATTATCGGATGTAACCAACAGGGCGATAATTAAGATTTAACAAGGTAGGGCGAAGTAACACTACATGCACGGCGGCGTGTAAAGGAAAGTTAAGGTTGATTTAAAATACGACACTAAATCGGCAGTGGGGGCAGAAAGGCGTCAAAAAAGGTGGCGCTTCCTACCAAAATACACCAAAAACACTCTAACTTCTAACAGCTATAATTCAACCAATTTAAGACTAGATTAATTATAAAATATACTATTTAATAGCCCTAATAATGACCTATTTTACTATATTTTTCATTTAGTCTAAGATTGGGAAATAAGCCCTTAAATAGAAGTGGTTTTATATTAATATTTAATATTTTTATAATAATGATATAACTTAAAATTACATACTAATTTAAGGTAATATAAATAATAAAAAAATCATCTAATTATAATTTAATAGCTCAATTTTATTATAATAATTTTATTTTATTTTTAAAAATAGGTTTGGATATAGAATAACTTTTTTGAAATATAATACTTTTGTATGCGTTGGTAGTGGGTGCGCCACCTTTTTTGACGCCCTTCTGGGGGGTAATATGCATATCGGCAGATGTAGCCACATTAAGTGCGAGGCGTATCAGGGGTACCCCACATATACATAGATAAATGCTAAATCCTCCTTGTAGCAACTTACCCAATACAACAACAATTACAACAACAATGTAACAGTTTGGGTATAAGACACCTTTTAATCCCGTGGTCAATCTACATAATAACTCTCATGCCGTTACAATCTGTTTCCGTTTCCAGAGAAATAATGCGACTGGCACTTGAGCCGCTCCAAACGCGCATAGTACCAACATCTGTCGATTGTATGCATCAGACAGCACGCTGCGTATCTCAGTTTGGAGGCCTTCTGGTAAGGTATCCTTTGCTGTGGAGGTGAGTTCCGTGATGGAGATTTCGATACCTAGGTGCGAGAGCTGCGATGCGACGTAGCCGTTGAAGATAGACGTTGTAATTGCCAAACCGATAGCCCCTCCCATGGTTCGAAACTGATTAGCAGCACCAATGGCCACAGCTATATCGAAGTCAGTCTTTTCTTATTGGTATCCATCGGTGCCATGAACTGAATTACGTAGTCGGTACTCACATCCATCGCATTTCTTTGCTACAAACGGTATCATGATAATCATGGTCGAGTAGCAGAACCCTGTTCCCAAACCAGGCAGAACCATATATCCGTATATCGCAGGTTCAATTGTCTCCGAACTGCTCAGCGTACTGAGAAGAGCAAAGCCAATAACCTGCAATATAGCACCAATCAGAACCAGATAGATTCCAGGGACCTTGGCCTTGCTCGCTATGCGGCCGCTCAGCACCACCCCAGCAGATGACGAGATACCGAATGGAAGAACCCTAACGCCAGCGTCAAGGCTGGAGATACCATTTACAAGCTGGAAACGCTGCGGAAGTAGGAAATACACAACAGCAAGTGGCGCTCCGACAAACACGAATCCACTAAGACAAGATTAGTTTCGATATCCCATTAAAGAGATGTGACAACGTACACCAGGAGGGCACTCATTATACGGCTTGTAAAGAATCGCCAGGGTAAGACAGGCTCGCGCACCTGATTAGCCAAGGTAACACGGCGCTCCCAACAACAATACAACCCAAAGAACAACAGACACAATCAACAAATAATAACATAGGCGGAATTCCAGGCAAACCTCGAGTCGGCTTCCTGGAAGCATGCTGTAAACGACAGAGTCGCCATGATTAGCAAAGCCGATCCCGGTAGGTCAATCTGGGCCCAGATTCTTTTGGATTTAGAGTCAATAGGTTTCTGTAACATTCGGCCTTGATGAGGGTATCCGTTCGGAATACCAATCAACGCGATCACAATAGCAAACAATCCAATTGGGGCGCTGGACGAATCGGTGGTTAACGCAAAGGTATAGAAGAGGGAAGGTTTAGGCGGCTGATCATACTTAATGATGAAGATCCAACGCCACGTTGTGTGCTCACTAATGACGCCGCCGAGGATTGGGCCCAAGACTGTAGCTAGGATGATGAAAACACCGTTTTTAGCCATAGTGTCAGCGTATCGGGACTGAGGGACGGATTCGATGAGACAAATTGCGCTCAGTGCAAAGCATCCCCCTCCGCCTAGACCCTGGAACGCACGCATAATGATACTAGTAGCTACGAGTCAAAGGAGTGTCCAGGTTAGAGCGGTCAATCGAGTAACTAACAGTTGTGCGAGAGTCTGTGAAGCAGCACATCCGGCAGAGAAGGCCGTAAACATGATGATGCAGAAAACAAATACAGACTTGCGTCCTAAAATATCGCTAAATTTGGCGAAAACAACAATGACGGCTGCTAAGGTCAGAGTTCATCCAGCATAACCACAATAGAGGGACAAACTCGCCCACATAGCCAAGCTGGTAACTCGTCAAAATCCAGCTACTCATTTCGAAACCACCAAGATCGCGAGTAATTGCAACCACCGAAGTAGTTGCGATAGTAGTATCGATACTTGTCAAGAAAAGCATAACATGCAACACTAATATCAATCGCAACATTAGTACCCTAGCCTCCAAGAGGAGTAAATAAGTAAAGCCATAACTAACACAGCATTGAGGGACCATAGAGGAGGCCCTTTGATGTAGAAGATGTCTTCAGGGTTGTAATTACTATGAGGATCGGGTGGAAAGTTGTCGCCATCGTTCACTTGAATCTCCAAAGGCTCAGATTTAGGTAGCTCGTCTTTAGACTCTGATGAAGCATTTCCAGTGGTATTCCCAACCGAATTAGCCATAGTTATCAAGTATTAAGACTCGAAAGGGACCAATATGTCTTACGAATAAACTCAAATTAGGAAATATCGCATTGAGAAGAAACGAAGAAACAGTATAGTTATTTGAAAATACGAGACCTAGTTTTATTCATTCATCAGTGTCCATTTCATTGGACACAAAATGCTTCATCTACATATATCTACCTCCTAGGTATTTAAGTACCTAGGTATCCAGGTATTGTCTTATTGTCGCGGTATCTATATCCTATATTCCGAAGGTCCCCGAAGGTGTTGGTAGATAATATCCTTGTCCCGCTATTGACATTTCGAACCGGCATGGCTCACCCCCCTTTTACGTTTTACTGGAATGCCGTACCAGAGCTTGGTGGATTGAATAAATAGTTTAATAACCGTTTACCTTTTTGACTTATATTTATACTGTTTATTTTATTTAAATATTTAAAATTAAAAACGTTAGCTATTTTTAACGTTTATTATTATTTTAATATTAAATAATATTTAAACGTTTAAATTTTTTTAAACGTTTAATTTTTTAAATATTTAGTTTTTTAAATATTTAATATAATTTTAAATATTTAAATATTTATACGTATTTTTATTATTTCCGTTAGTTTAAAAACTTTTATTATGGTTTTATATTTTTGTTAAAGTTATATAAAATAAGGTTTAATTTAAAATTAAAGTTATATAAATAAATTTAAAATAATATAAATATATAAATATATAAGTTTATATAAAAAGCTTTTTTTTTTTTTTTTTTTTTTTAATTTTTTTTTAAGTTTTTAATTTTTTAATTAATTAATTAGTTTTTTAATTTTATAATATTTTAATTAATTTTTTAAATAAATAATTTTTTAAATAATTTTATATAATTAATTTTTTAATTAATAATTATATTTATAATTTTGTGGGAACGTTGATTATGTAACTTGGGTGGGATAGACCCATTTATCTTATATATATTCCTATATATTTTAATTTTAAATTAGAATATATATTAAATATTATTAATAATAATTTTATTTATTATATATATAATATTTTTTTATATTATATATAATATCTTTATTTATTTAATATTAATTAATAATTAATAATAAGTTAATTATAAATTAGTTAAGTATTTAAAAAGAAAGAAATAATTTATGCGTTAAATTTTAATAAAAAGAAGTAAATAACCTTAAGATTTTATATTTTTGTATATAATTTTAAACCTAAAATTTCATAATTTTATATATAGTTTTAAAAAATCTTATACTAATTTAAGATTTTTAGATAAAAGAAATAATTTATATATTAAATTTTAAATCTTAAATTTACGTTTATTACATATAAATAAGTAATATTGAAATTTTATTCTATTAAATAAATAATTTTAAAGGAATTTATATTAATTAATTTATATATTTATTACGTATTTTTATTTATAATATATAAAATATTAAAAAAAAATAATAATATTATAAATTACGTTATAATTTTATTTTATTAATAAATTTTATATTTTATTTAAAAATTTTTTAATTTTATTTAAAAAGTTTTATTTATTAATATTATTTAAAAGTTTAATATTTAAAGAAATAATAATATTTAGAAATTATAAAAATATATAATAACGCTACTTTTTTTTTAACTTTTTATAAAAATAATTTATAAAAATAAAATTAGGTAAACCTTTTTTTTTATAATATATATTTTAATAATATTATTTTTTTTATTATTTTTTTTATTTATTTTTTTTATTATAATAATTAATATTATTATTAACCTTAATTATAATATTAAATATTTAATATAGTTAAATAAGTATAAAACCTTTAGCAAAAATATATTAATAATAAAGAATTTAGTATAAAATTTATAACCAATAATATAATAAGAATTTTAGTAATTTAAATTAAGATATATATAATTAAAAATATATAAGGTTATAATAAAAATATAATTGATAAAATTTTGTAATATATTTTTAAAATTAATTTTAATAATTAGATTAAAGTTTATTTTAATAAAATTAAACGTTTATTTTACGTTAAAATAAAAGAATATATTATATTTTATAATGTTTATATAAAAAAAATAATTAATAATTATTAAGTATTAATAAATATTGTTAATATAAAATTATTTTTGGCATATTTTAAAAAAAAAGTATTTAAATTGTTAAAAATTTATTTTTTTAGGTTTAAATCTATAATTAATTTAATATATATATATTTATTAAAAATTATAGTAAAAAATATTATAATTAAATTAAATTTAATAATAATAATATTATTATTATAATTACTTTTAATAATTTAAATTATAAATATTTAAATTATAATTATATAAAATTTTATATTAATATTTATATAACCATAAATAAAATAAATATAATTTAATTTAACGTAATTTATAAATCTTTAATTAATTTTTTAAATATTCCAATAAATTTAAACATTTTAATAAAAATAAATAATTTTTTAATTATAATTAATTTAAATATTTTTAATAATAATAAATAACTTTATATAATAAAGCTAATTTATAAAAAATATAAAGATTTTTTTAAAAATAATATAAAGATTTATTAAAAAATTATTTATTTACAAATAAAATAAATAAATAATAATATATAAATTTTAACTTTTTATTATACTAACTAAATTATATAATAATAATAATTTTAAATTTAAAAATAAAAAATATAAAATATTAAATAAATAAATTAAAATTTTTTTATTTTATTATTATAAATTTAAAATTAAATTAAATTTATATATTAATATTTATAATATTATATTAAAAAAAGTAATATTAAAATTTTTTTATAAATATTTTATATAAAAAAATTTTAATTTTAATATAATAGTTAATAAAATAAAAATTTTTTTTTATATAAACAAAAACCTTTAAATATATATATTTAAATAAAAAGATATAATAATTAAAAATATTATATAAAATAATTTTAAAAAAATATTATTTAAATACCTTAAAATATTAATTATATAAATATAATATATTTATAAAAACTTATTAATTAATTATATTAAAGAAATTTATTTTAAAAAAAGTTTATATTATATTATATAAAAATATTTAATATTTTTATCCATTTTTCTTTAACAATTAAATATATTTGAAAATATTTATACCGATTTTTGCGTAATAATAAATAATATATATCAAAATTTTTTTAATAAATTTAAAATAAAAAATAAATAATATTATATTAATTGATTTTATTAAAAAAATTAAAACCTTTATTAAATAAATTAAAATAAAAATAAACATTTTAATAATTAAAAATATATTAAATACGGAAAGAAAAAATATTTCGTTTATAATAAATTAAATTATTAATTTATTAAATATTTTATATATAAATAATATAATAAATATAATTAATAATATTAATATATATAAAATTATAAAATAAAAAATATTAAAAAAAATTTTACAATATTCTTTATTAATTATAAAAAAATTAATATTAATTATAAAAATAAAAATAATAATAATAATAATAATAATTTTAATTTATAATATATATAATATAGTAATAATATAAATAACGGAAATAATTTAGTTTAATTATTTTTTATATAATATTTTATAGGTTATAATAAAATTAATAGTTTTTAAATT